TAACTGTTTTCAAGAAAGCAAATAAGTATGTTACCCTATTCCTTTAAAAATTCTAAACTACTTAATCCATTATGATGAAATTGTTAACACAGTGCAGTAATTATCTGCTGCTGAAAATGAACCTAAAACACCTCTCTAAATGCTTGTCTTGCTGGCATTTCATCGTGCTCCTCTTTTAGACGGCAACAGCGCTAATGCGATGGAGAGCTGGGGCGATGGGAGCCGCTGCCTAAAACTAAAAGGACAAATGAGGTATATGCCGGAGTGGGAGTCCATCATCTTCCTGGGAACCCCTGTGTAAGCCCCCCCCACACACACACACACGCACACAAATGGACACACACAGATCTTTATTAAAACGCTGCAGTTTAAAAGTAAAACATTCTAAAAAGCAGCAAGAGCTAAACTGAATTACGAGGCTGGAAAGAAAAGTCCGGGCAGTGAATCAAATCAGGGGCCCATTCTAACAGCACTTACCATGCATGAAATGAGCTGCTAATTAGCTTGTAATCAGACAGTGCAGCTCTTGTGAGCCTAATGGGAACCCATTTGCAAATGAGAGTGTTTTCCACAGAGTACATTACCAAAACATTCTCCCTCCTCTTCTAAAACATTGTGTTTTGCAAGTAAATGCTCTTATGCCTGTATTGACCAAACTACTGAAATATTAAATGCCTTATAAAACTGCTTGGATTATTTATATTGTAGGAAAACTGCATCTCTCCAAATTACTGTATTTTAATTCCCCAACATTTTATAAAAACTGCTCATGGTAATTCTAAATTTATTTTGCAACTTTATTTTTTACATCATTGTTGTTATTTGTCTTTCATTTTAATCTTTTACTCTCTATATGTGTATTTGTGCATGTGTGTATAGGATGGAGAGTCTGAGTGCTATGTTTAAGACCGGCCTGTACATCAATGACCTGAGCATGCACGACTCCAGCAGAGACCTGGTGCTGGCAGGCACGCAGCAGTCAGAGGAGCTGAAGAGAGCTCTCATACAGGTTCACTCTGCCAAAGTGCAACTACATTTTATATGTGTGATCAGCTCACTTGTCACTCTGCATTATGCAAAGTCACTCTGAAGCCCTTCCCTCAGTCTAGCGGCCCCAGCTCACTTGCCACCCACAGACCTGAGATGAAAGAAATAGATACAAACTCACAGTGTTATTCTGTCTTATTCTCCATTGTGAGTGCAGGAGCAGAAGAAGTCAAGTAAGTTGGAGGAGAGCATGAAGATGTTGGACTATGAGATGAAGAAGACTGATGACCTTCTGTACAGGATGATTCCCAAGCCAGTGGCTAAAAGGCTGCGCAAAGGAGAGCCGGCTGTAAACACGTGCGAGGTCAGGATTGTAGATTGAGCCACGGATATGCCACTGTGATTAAACTATGATTAAGCACCCGAAGTACCAAAAACAACAGAAGCAACAGTTTCAGTCTTTTAACATGCTCTGCTCTTTAAATAGTTAACATTGTGGGAAATGCTGTCATTCACTTTCACGCATTGAGTTGATGCCCAGCTCATGGCCGTAACCTACAGCCAGTTAGCTTAGCACAACGTCTGGAAATAGGGGGAAGTAACTAGCCTGGCCCACTCCAAAGGTAACACAACACGTCTACAACCACCTCCAGCAAAGTCCACTAATTACAAACATGATATAACATATTAATTAGTGAGTCATTTAACAGGCTGCTGGCTATAGTTTCATATTTATTGTACATTGACATATCAGCCAAACTGTCTTTAACTCACATTCATGTACTGTACTGAAGCAAAAAATAACTATTGCACAATTAAAGATTTTATTTTATCAATCACAGGGTACAAACTGAGTTTTTTTCTTGCTCAATAAGAAAGTGACTGGGTATCTAAACACACACCCACACACTCACAAACATACGTATAAATCTTCTGAATTCTTACTACATGTGTAGTCACACTATTGGAGGTTTTGCTATAGTAAAATTCATGTTGATTGAGAGTGGCTGATGTTGCTTAGCAGCATTTGCAAAAAATGGCCAATGAATGCCTCCCTCACCTCTCTGTGTGTGTGTGGGCAGCATATCAACCTGCCTGCTCATCAACTCCCTTATCGCTCTTCTTCCAGGTGTTCCCAGATGTGACCATTCTTTTCAGCGATGTAGTGGGATTTACTCGTATTTGCAGCCACATCACTCCAATGCAGGTGGTCTCCATGCTCAACACCATGTACACACTGTTTGACACGCTCAGCGAGAAGCACCGCGTCTTCAAGGTTTGTGTGTGGATTTTTCCTCTGTTTCATATACTTTATAAACAAGTGCTGCTGCATAAGAGCTGCTATTTCTGCCTCTTTCCAGGTTGAGACTATTGGAGATGCCTACATGGTGGTAGCCGGAGCTCCAGAGAAGACAAAGTATCACGCTCATAACATCTGCGACATGGCCCTGGACATGGTGCGCTCCATAGATCACCTGAAAGACCCCTCTAATGGCAACAACATACAGATTCGTGTTGGTAGGTAGAGTGCTGTGTGGACCTATTTGTGTGTTTATGTTGGCGTTTGACTGAATTAACTCTCCTGTTGTTCTGGTTGCAGGGATCCACTCTGGGATGGTTGTGGCAGGTGTGGTGGGACATAAGATGCCACGTTACGGTCTGCATGGCGACACAGTGCACACTGCATCTGCCATGGAGAGCAATGGAAAGGTAGGGAAAGATAATGAGTGAAAGGAAGACCAATGTGAGAGAAATAAACACTCAAAGTAAGTGTGTACACTGAACTGGTCTACTATATTTATATAATACATATACTGCGTGTGCGTATATAGATACATTAATGACATATTGAAGTGAAAGTCTGATTTTGTTGCAACTGACTTTTTAAATACTTTTCCTCTCGTTCAGGAGATGCACATTCAGCTCAGCAGTGCCACCTACGAGCACCTGAAGGGAAGTCACTTTATTTTTGAAAGGAGGGGTATCATTACCATCAAGGTTAGGGGTCAATTCACTACATTAATTGCATTCACTCACCCACTATAACTACATGCAATTAATATGATTTGCTGCAGAACGTATGAGCAACACACAGCGTTGATGTGTTGGTGTGTTGAGAGGTGTCTGTGCGTCTCCACCTGAAAGTAAATGTCAAATGTTCAGGTAGGTTGTGTACATTATGCACAACCTACCTGAAACTAAACATTGAAGGTAGATTTGCGTATCAGCATATATATATATATATATATTAATAACTCATAATGTTTTTGTCTCTGAAGTCAGCACACTTAGTATTCAGGGCTGGTAAATTGCAGCTTGCTTGTTGATTTGCCAGTCTGTTTTATCACTGGTCTGACTTTGAGGCTGTACATTCAGTGATAATGGCAGCACAGTGACTCCCAAAGGTTTTTGAGGAAGCTGATTACAGGTGCCAAGTTTTCATTAGGGAATCTTGATGATTGAAAATCTGCATTTTACTCCCCTCCATAGCAGAAATGATTCCCATGAGTATGTCTTTTTGAATTTTTGGGCATATGGCACCTTTATGTCCAACCCTAATTCTCTCTTTCACGTTTTGCTTCTCTTGGTCCATTTTCAGGGGAATGTAGAAATTGAGACCTACTGGCTGAAAGGAAAGAGGGACAAAGACGGCAATGCTCAGGCAGCGTGTCCTCAGTTTGAGACCCAGACTATCAGTAAGGCCATAAGCAAGGCCACCGTCTCAGGCCCTGAGGCCACAGTGGATGAGCAGGGACTGGTAAAAAATTGGAACTAAGACATGCTTGAATAGTATACACTCACTGGCGTTATTGCCACCACCATCACCATCTGATTCCCCAAGTCTCCTTATGACTTTGCCCCCAGGTTTTCCCACTGGTGGCAGGGGAGGACGAGGATGATGTAAAGTCTGTTCGCTCTCATCGTATCAAGATGGAGATTTCAGGCCATTCTCTGGAGGGGTCGACGGAGGAGTGCCGGGTGGAGAAGATGTCGGTTCATAAGGTGAGAGAGAATATGTGGTGCCAGGTTTTTTAGAATGCAAGACTTTTCATCCACACCTGTCACTGCGATTCCCTTCCTGGGTTATAATCAGCTGTTAACACTGCTTTATACTTGCTGTTTTGTTATTGGAGTGAAAAAATGAACGTTTCCTTCACTAGTCCCACTATAAGGTTGCTTTGCAGGATGGCCTCCATGACTCTCACCTGGAATTGGACTCACTTCACTCTGACGGCAGAGACTCCATCATGGAGTCCCGTAACAGCTCCTGTGACTCCCGCTGCTCCAAGAGTGCCATGTGCTCCGTGTCATGAACAAATGATGCTTTAGCCAGAAACTCATTTGTATTTTTTGCTTTTTTAGGCCAAATACCAGATAGGAGTGCAGTTTTTGCTGCTCTTTTTGCCTTTTTGGAAGAGTTCTTATAGTGATGCCATGGCAATCTCTAATGCTGTGTTGTTTATACATGGACTAGTCTGTAATGCTTGAAATTTGTAGTGGCATTGTGTGTTGTTATATTGCACAGCAAAATCATCAGTGCTCATTTAGCGCTGTACAGTACAGAAATCCATCTCAGCTGTCGTTAAACAGTTTTAAGAGCTGCCTCTGAGCTTTTCCATCCCTAGGAGTGACACAGACACTTCCCCAATTAATACCCCAAAGCCATTGCCACTAAAACATTGCTGTGTACCTATTGTATATTGTGTTTTAGTATCAAAAAGTGTTCACTGCCATGTCAGCTGGACACAAGCTTGGTAATTTTCTGCACTGTACTTGCACTTGTTTCATCCTGTGAAGAAATCACTCGGACTCTGTCCTCCATCCCTCTCCCTCCTCTCTCCTTCTCGCATGCCTGAACTCATTGTTCTATATCAGTCTCGTCAAAAACACAGCCACAGCACAATGTAAACGCTTGTCATCTCACTGAAAATAAAGCAAGATGACTGCAGAGCCGCGTGTGGATCCGCTTGTTATTGTTTGTCTCTGTCACTCAAAGGCATTTGCAGTTAGAGTCACATTTACATTTGCATGTATTTTTCAATTTTTCATTGAACACAATTCTCCATGGATATGGATGTATGGATATGTTTTTATTCTCTGTGTGTGCTTACGTGTCATGCATGCATTTTAAACACCAGGAAATCTAGTACACAATCATTTTATGCCCTTGCAGTTTAGCTTCAAAATGCATCATAACTATATGTTTGTGTGATTGCCTAGTGTTCGAAATTCTTGCTACTGTTATTTCAAAAATCAAAAACAAATATCAAATCAACATGGGAGTTAAACCAACATCTCAAATTCCATGCTTTGGTTTAAGGAAGGTGTAATTACTATCTGCCTCATGGTGCTGCAACACACAACAAAATACATTGATGGACAGTCAGATAGCAGTTATCCGGGTACGGTGCTCCAGTCAGACAACGTTCCCCACTGACTGGGTATCAGTGGAGCTGCACTTGTAGGTGGCGTCCTCACGGTCTAGGCTGCATCTGTTGTCTGAGCGCGTGTCTTTAGGCAACGAACCGATGGAACAATGGAAGCAGAAGGCGTAGAAGAAGGCAAGCAGGAGCAGGAAGCAGACAACACAAAAAATGATGACAATCAGGATGGTGTGCACCTGCATGTGCACCTCCTCCCACGGGAGCAGTGTGGTAGTGGGCAGGAAGCTGAAGGTTATTGGGGTAGCATTGGAACTGGGTGGAGGAGTCACTGTGTGTAACTGTGGCTTCAGGTGGGTAACTTGTGGCATGATGGCAGGATGTGTGCCCTTTGCTGCAGCTTTAAGGTGAAAGACATCTCTTAGTTTAATTTACCACATGCACAGATAACACACACTTTAAAAAGATGCAGTAGTCATTTAATTTAATGTTAAAGGTAATTATGTTAAATATTAATCCACCTGCCAAAAAACAAGAGAAAAACTTTGTATCATTTCCACATTTAGTGCAATAATAATAAGGTTTGTAACAAAAAAGATAATCTCATTTATATCAACATCACTTCTACATATTAAAAAGCAGCAGGTAAATTATCTTCCTCGCCAAACACAGTCTTGAGTCTTTTGGTCTTACCTGGAATTTGTTGTTGTCTCTCAGAGCAGGACTCAGACTTCCTTTTGATGAGCCTAGCTTGGGAAGATGATAGAAATGGAGGACAAGAGAGGGAGGGCTGGACTGAAGATGAGAGGTGGCTGGTGGACTATGAATAACAGGGAGGGTTGCCATGGCAACACTTGCTGAGGTGACATCACATTGCCTTAAGATTACGACTCTGTAGGTATAAAAATGGGGATGATAGGTGATTATCATTAACATATGTCAGCAGAATGAGTTAGAAACATGTACAGAACTAAAGCTCCAGTATGTGCACCCAAATCACCTGTAGCTTATAGAAAAATTACTTATGTCTGTATTTACTGGTATTCTTTGGAGGCAGTGCAAGAGTAAAAGTAAATGCCCAGTCAAATCTGAGCTTTAGAACCCCCCTGTCAAATCACTTATTTGTAAAGAAACAAAGCCTCCCCCTCAGCCCTGAGATCAGACTATATAATACTGCCACCTGTTGGGAGAAGCAGCAGCACTGAAGTACACGCTGCACAAAGCAAACTCATCTCGCCACCAGCCCAGCTCCTGTGCCGTCTGGTCTCTTTCAAACAGCCATAATGATCCTTTAGTACAAGTTGTAATTGGTCCCACACCCCCTGCTGTGCTCCCTCAACAGGAGTCGGTGTCTAAAACATGTTTTAGTACTTGCACCAAATTTTTGTTGCTATGGAGATGACTCCATATTCATTCATTTTGTTCACACTTAGCAAGTAAAACCAGAGAGCTGTTTTTTTTTTCAAAGCCACTCATAAATATCAGACAAAAGAAAAGAAAAATATTAATTAGCATAATTTCATGTAGAAGAGGACACAGTACAAAGCCTGCCCACTGATTGATTTTAGAGTGCTTTCAGATGGTTAATTACAGCTCCAGACAACAGACACAAAAGATCCATTAAATCCAACTGCAGCAGAGTAGAACCAAAATAGCTGAATAGAGGACGTAGCCTACACCAAAGCCAGTCTAAAGGACAACTATGTGAAGAATGACCACAAGGCTGTGTGGGCCTTCAAGCCTGGGGCGGGTTTCCGACCTGTGTCGTCCCAGCAGAGACGAAACATATGTGGGTAAAGACTGAGGAAGTCTCCTTTTTTTGTAAATTGTTTGTCTCAGAACAGAAGAGTTGCTCACATAAAGTAGGCTTCTTGTATTTCTGCTGGGAAAACACACAGCGTTCACATCTGGGCGTTAGATGTGTCATATGGCCAACTACCTCAATGAGGAGGGATCCTGATGAGCTTTAACAGACATGCTCATTGCCGCAAGAGACACTGCATGCTGCGTAATAGTCCCAGAATTAACATATAAAACAAACATTTTGAGAAAACCATCTCCATGCTGCAAATTAGTCAACCTCTCTGCACCTAATTTCCTGCACTGTTTGTTCTGCTGTGCCTTGAAGATTTGATATCTTGCCTCTGCCATGTGAGTGTATAATTGTTTATGCTCTTCTCTCTCACTCTTGCTTTTCAATTAGTCTCTCTCTCTCACACTGTACAATGTAAGTGCTTGTCATCGTGGTGTGGAAATAAAGCAAGTTGGCAGCTGAGCAGGAGGGGATCAGCTTGTTATTGTTCCTCTTGTCACTCATAGAAGTTGGCATTTACAGTCAAGCACCAAGCGTTCTGTCTTTCACTGATGGTTTTAAAACGATTATTTGACCATTAATGTATTATGGCTTGTGCATGTATGTATGCATTTTCTGAGAATTTCATTAATACATAAGATTTGAAAACAACAAAAAGCACAATAGCAGATTAGACTAATTATTTTATTGTCAAAAATCTCAAAACACATACTTTACACTCACACTGAACTGAACAGTTCTACATCGCTACACACTCAACTTGGTCTTTAAGAAAGCACACAGATTGACCAGAAAAAGATCCTCGGTATAATGGGAACAAAAACATACATTTTTAGGATAGGACAATGAGTAACAAGGGGCCTAATACACTTATTGTAGCCTTCTTTAAATTAGTTACATTAGCAACATAAAACATAACATAAAAATTACATACACTGTAAAAACAGAATTATTCAAATCTGTCAGGGGGGCAGGATCTCAGGTCATATTAAATGAAATATTTCTTTAAATCCCTTATGTGATGCTGGTTCTCAGACTCTAGTCGGTGTTGCTTGGGATGCTGGTTCACTTCTTCTTATTCACAATGTTGTTGCAAATCCAATTCATGCCATCCTGTCGGGGGATAATTAAATAAAACTGTCTGAATCAGTTTCATAGACGAGTCCAGACAGTTTGAAGATAGAAAACAGTCAAAACCATCAAACTAAGCAAGTCAAAGAGGTTGTTGATAAAACGCCCAACAGTAAAATATTGTACAGCAGGAAGGCAGGGAGCACTTTTTATATGGTTAATTAGATTCCATCTGAGAAGAAATCAATAAGGTTTGGACTAAGTCTGACCTGAACTCCCTCTCCCGACACAGCTGAGCAGGCCTGAATCTGCCACTCACGATCCCGGTATGTATGTAGGTTGAGTCCCTCAGCGATCTCACTGGCCGGTGATGCTGTGGCCAGATCCTGCTTATTGGCAAAGATGAGCACTGGAACACCCTTTAGATTCTCCTCGTCAATCAGCTCGGACAGCTCCTGCACATACACGCAAACAAGTTTTTGTTCAGTTATTGAAACAATGACTTTCACATTCATGAACTGAATTAACTTCAGAACAGTATTTGCGTGTATAAATGACAACTGTGCATCAAGCTCACCAGTCCTGTCTCCTCAAACCGCTTCTTGTCTGCACTGTCAATAACATAAATCTGAAAGAACAAATGTGTAACAATAAAAAAAGCAAAAACAGAACAGGCATCAATATTTTGCTGTCTGCATGTAAACTCCTCTACAGCAGCCAAAAAGAAAGGTCAGCGTTACCTGAGAACAGAAGCTACGGTTATTATCCTTTAAAAACATTAGGGTTTTACTAGCAAGTGCTTAATTTGTGCATATATGTGGCGTCCTGTCCTTAGTATGAACAGCATGTATCAACACTAGTCTATGTCCATTTATGTATTTTATTGTACTTTAATATTGTGGATTTTATTGCTTGAGATGCTTTGGTGTGGTGTAGCAAAGACCTGTGTGGATCCCGGGATAACTAGCAACCACTTTGTAAAAACTAATCCAAATAGAGAAATAAAGCAAATGTCTCTCAGGGGAAATTTGAATTTCACTTTAAGTAGCCTAAGTGTAGTCACTCACCAACAGGTCTGTGTTTTCCAGGTACTTTTTCCAGAAGGTCCTGATCTTCCTCTGTCCTCCAATGTCCCAAACATTGAGTTTCATGCCATGAGAGGCGACACTCTTTATGTTGAAGCCCTGAAGTGAACACACAAACCTGGAGTCACTGTACTGCACATCACTGCCTTCAATTTGACATAGTTCCAATTGGCAGCACCTGGAAAGCCTTGCAAATGGTTATGAAGCAATTCATTAAGCGGCAATGTACTAGAGCACAGGTGTGTGTTTTAAATCAGTCACTGTTTGAGTACTCTGAATTGTAACCTTGTTACGTGTCAGCAGGAGTGCAACATGTGCTCTAAGCGTTCATAAGGAAACGGTCACAGGGTTAATCCGCAGCCGTTTTTCATAACGCGTCTCCTTTCTGTTTTAGTCGGTGAGGTTGTATAACAACTTTATCCTGGGGGCCAGCTGAGGTGCAAATCTAAGGATAAGACTGGAAGGATCAAGTGCAGTGTATGTGTTTATGTGTCAGGTCTGATTTAGCTTTGTGTTGACCACTGACATGTCATACTGGACTATGTCGTCTTTGCCTGGTCGACCAGGACCTGGCGGTACATCTGCTCTATGTCTTGTCTTGTGAGAATAATGCAAGGGTATTAGATCATCATATTAGAGGTTAGATAATCGCATAAAAAAAGGGTGAGACCTCACCACAACGTTAGGATCTTCCCAGAAAATGCAAGTCAGGAAGGTCATGCAAGGTATTATCTGCTGCTGAAAGGTTATTTAACATACAATATATAACAAGATCACCTGACATCCTCAAATCATTGTTTTACTGATTGGTGGTTAAAGCATATGTGCACTGTAACACCAATTATTTCACAGTAAAGGTCATCTGAATCCCATTACTTTGAGCGAGTGTACACTGGTCCAGCTAGTCTCACAAGATTACATACAAGGCAAAATATCTTTTTGAAAAAACTCAACAAGAGTGGCAAAAGGACTCAGTGAGAGCAAAGTGTACTGGTCTGTGGAGTGGTAACTTATTGGTTAACAAAATATTGACACAATATGTCTGGTAGATGCACCCTGTTAATCTAAAATGCACTTAATGATGAACATCACATAAAGGTGTTGAGAAGTGGCTCAGCTGTTCATGATAAGATGAATTAATTAAAATGAAGGACACAAAAATATCATCTGGAAGTGTGTCAGTCAGTGGTGTTTTTTTGCTTTATTATGCCGTACAGTGACTTTCCTTAAGGTCATGATGTGTGTGTGTGTGAGTTTTAACTCACAACTTCCTCTTACCTGTGTTGGTGTGATGGTGTTCACATCCTCAGAGGCGAGGCTCTTTAGCAGGGTGGTCTTGCCGGCATTGTCCAACCCCAGAAGCACTATCCTGACCTCCTGCTCTGTGGATCCCTTCAGTTTCTCAATGACAGAGAGTAAGCCCTGCGTGTAGGGACGAGGATGGGATGGGTGGATGTGGAAGGATAGATAAGACCTTGAACTTATTGCAGCATTCACTGCATCTTGTAGAAATTTGTATTTGTAGAAAGTACTTCTCTTCAGAGGAAGTCAGCATGTATCGTGACATGTCATTTATAATGGGATATTTCAGTTTAATAATACAAACAATTTAATAGTTTTTGTGTAGAATACAAAAGTATATGGGGGGGATCTGCTATTTTTGACAATATTTTCTTGGAAAACCAGAATATTACTATGACTACTCTTTCCTTTCCTCACGGGCGCAGTGTTCCTTTGATATACTTCCAAGATAATATCCACGGTTAAATACAAACAGTTGAAAACTGTCAAAAATCACACTGACATCTTTCTGATTTGAGGTCAAGGCCCACCCCCCTTGCATACAGCACTGCTGAGCACACATCTTGCTCCACCCATCCCCCGTTCAGTAAGAATTAATCTGTTGCTTCATTTTGAAAAGCATTGGTCTTGATTAGAGCTCCATTCATATAATGGTGCTGTTTAATGTGATTAGTCGAAGTGAGGTTGCACAACCGCAGACTGCAGACAAAAGAAGCACTGTGGCTTTAAATATTTGATTCACAGTAATAGGCACGACAGTGAATGTGTGATTAACTGTACGTCAAAGGACATTAAAGGTTTTCATTTAGATGTATAATCATCATATCAACACAATGTTGACAAGCCGAACAATTTTGATAATCCAACCATCACAGCAGAGAGCTCCCTCTAAAACAGAAATACTGTAAAACATGTATTAGTACACACTTTTGGAGTCATAACCACCTGTAAATAGTTCTTTGTATCAAACATATACAGAAGGTTCACATTTGGTTTTATAAGTCCTGTTCCTCCAGATCAGGTCACTTACCTTTTGAGCTTCTCCCATGGTGGCGTTTCCTGTGGCTTGGCTGAAGGGCTGCAGCTACATTCTCCAGTGAAGCTCCCACAGGTGTGTTAGCTATCAACGAGGTTAGCTATCCAGAGCCTCTGTCTTTTCCCCCTCTTCCTCCTCTATAAACTTGGGTGGGATGAGTAGTATGTGTGTATGTGATAGTAATGTCTACCTGGGCGTCAAATTGTTCCTCACTGATGCTGGGGGAGTTAGCAAGCAGGAAGAGGGGGAGGGTGGATGGGACTGGGATTAGGAGGCCAGAATTAGCCCTAGTCATCCATGCAAAGGCCATCCCATCCACCCTCCCCCTTTCCTCTGTCCATCCCTCCGTCTCCACTTTGCAGTGGCTTTACCTGGATTATCCCTTAGCCACCTGCTATAGGAGGAAACTGAATAAACAGTCTTTCCTGACATGCATATTATAAGCAGAAAACAGAAAACAGTTTTGCCAAATACCTGGGGGGGGGGGGGAATACTTTACTGCAGAAAAACAAAGACATGCTGGGCAGAAATAAGACTGTCAGTGTGGAAAGGGCTTAACACATAAACTTCAAAGGATTATATCATGTTAAAGCAGGGAGTTTATTATTTCTGTGTTCATAAGTCAACTCAAATCTCACACCCATCCCTCTCTTGGAGAGGAGTGGATAGCATTATCACTCCATATATCCATTACATGCAAGCCGCTATAAAGCTGCTCTGTGGGGGTTGTCTGTAGTGTGTTCCTGTGAGTAGAGCATTCAGCGGGATTATTGTGAGCATGCCTGTCCCGTGTCTGGATTAAAAACATTTCTAGGCTCTTTTCCTTAATTGAACAGGCTTTCTCGTCATTTGGCATGGTCACCATGAAAACTTTGGTGAATAATGGTCTGGAAATGCCTATGCATAAGCTTGTAACCTCATCTGATCACATACACTCACCTCAAAGACAGGGATAAAAGGAGGTTTTTATTTCTACAGCAAATTCTACAACAGCAAATTATGAAACACTATTAGTATTTATTATTTTTCAAGGTGATAGACCGGTTCTTATTTAGGACCTTCTTGGTGTGAGCGGAGCCGGACCGCCCCTCTGCCCGGCCTGTAACCTCTGATTCATCCTTTCTTTGTGTTTGTCTGCAAAATTAGGAAATATTTTTATTTGTTTTCATGTAGAGAGTTTGATGAGAAGATCAATACCACTCAGCAGCCGGTTAACTTAGCTTAGCTTAAAGACTGGAAACAGAGGGAAACTGTAAGTCTTGCTCCATCTAAAGGTAACAAACACCAACTACTGGCACCTCTAAAGTCCAGTGATTGATATATTAGAACTCGTTTTTATAATAACCACTAAGTTGTTTACTCACTAGAGAGAAGTAAATTAAAAATTTGGACAATCATTGTCATTTTGCATCATCCCTAACAGCTATACAGTCATTATTGCATCTATAAAATCTAATGATTGTATTGTGTGATGGCTAGCAGAAAAAGTGTACATGCCATGTAGACAGCTTTTGTCTTACCAGTGTGGAATTTTAGGGGCACTATAAAGTGGACAAATTTACAAACTCAGAATTCAGACACTTGAATGAAAAGGCTGTTCTTATAGTAAATATGGAGTGATTTTGGTCACAGCCCATTTCTTGGCTAGGGGTAGTAACGTCCTGGAGTTCTCCACTGGTGGCTCCTGGCCAAGAAAGTAGTCACAGAAAGGTACAAAACCTCCTGTAAAGCCAAGACCTGCCATTTCAACTCTTGAGTTTTTGCATGGATTAAACTAAACAGATATAAATGGTGAGCTTTAGAGGTTCTTTTGGGTGGCTTTTGTTAGCTTTGGACACAGCCAGGATAGCTGTTTCCCTCCCGTTCCAGTCTATGTGTAATAAATAAAAATGTGTAATAAGTGGAGGAGCTTTATTTCATTTTTTTCTCATTCTCTTTTCTGCATACAGGCTGAAGTGAGCTCTTACCGGTGTCTCTTTTCAGCTTGATCTTCATAGCCAGCCCCATTGACAAGACCAGGACCAGAGCGCCAACACCACAAACCAACAGGAGCACCACACTGTTGCCTGGATGACACAGTTATAAAGAAATACAGACAGACAGTGAAGACAAATGCTATCAAGAGTAATTGAGATGTGCATTTCTTCATTGAAATCTTACAAGTGATTAAATGTTTCTGCTCTTTCATTTTTAAGTCAGAAATTGGTTAATGACTTAAAAATGCACAATCTACATTACACAGGCAAAAGGTAATATCTGGCTGTATGAAATAAGAATGATGATTTCTACTTACTGTGTACAGTGAGTATGTATGGCAGAGACGTGTAATTGCCACATGTGCTATTCACAATGCAGATGTACTGGCCTTGGTGAGATGCAAACACCTTTTGGAGAACCAGTATGCTATTATTTTGGCCAGCCATTTCTTCACCGTCCTTCTTCCACTTAAACGCCAGGATCATATCTGAGAGGTTATTCACACACGTTAGAGTGACATCATCACCCTCCTGTGGCTGGGGTTGAGTGCTGTTTACAGAAACCTCAAAGTCTGAAGGGCAGCGTAAACATTCAAGGGAAGGGAGGCAACAGTGATAGTGTTAGTTAATCATATAGGTGTCACTTATGTGTTTCAGTGCACTGCCACAGACAAGGATATCGTTACAGGTTACCTTTTGTGCAGTTTGATGGAAAAGTTCCTAAAGATGGAACATGGGAATAAATGAAAACAGTCAAAGTCAACATTTACTATAAAACAGAATAAATATTGTACAAGGTATTTTCTAAAAATATAAATGCACCCACTCACTTATTCCACTCAGTAAACCCTCAACAATACATTAGTTAAGAAGAAGAATCAAATGAACATTTATAAGCATTCAGATTATTTTCCATGTTTGCCATATTTGAGTCAACCTCATTGTAGTACCACTCCCCACTGTATCTATTGTACTGCATGTGAAATTCATGGGATTTATCTTCAAGTAAACAGATGAAAAGAAAGATGGCACTAACCATTAATGCATCCTGGATCGGTTGTACATTGGGCACAATGCACAAGGATATATATGGAAAACAGAAATGGAAGGAATAGCATTAGGAACATTTTTATGTGCATCTCTCACTTCACATTTATCTAAAGGCAGACAATGTTACATAACATTTCCAGATGTAGCCTTTAAAAAGTGAGAGGTTTGGTTTATTTATTTTATACCTGACTTACGCAGTTCTGTGACATTACATTTCAGACACTGGACAGGAACACAGACAGAGCCAACGGCAGCTAAAAAAAACAAAACAAAACAAAATGTATGTGTAGAGTTAATCAACCATACATTCATAGAAACATTCATAGATAATACAAAAAAAAAATATACATATATACACACACACATACACATACCTTGAAGATGACCAAGCAAAAGATAAAGGAATATTTCTCGCATTACCATTCTCTGTTGGAAAACTCATATCATTAAGTTGATTTAGCTTTAGAATACGTAGAACGAGACATGTCAGAATGTCTGCAAATAAAAGATATACAACATAAAACAACATCTAAATGCGGCATAGCACTGACACGTGCAGCAACTTGTACATGAGCTATTAAAAATAATCCTGAAGCTAAAAGATAATATTATAATGTAAAGTGTTTTTCTTTTTACCTGCGGCGGTGTCGTCTCCTCACACAGGGCTGACTTATGACCTGCTCTGCTTTGCCTAAACTAATGGTCTTTGAGTCGGAAATGGCCCGGCAGAACTGATCATAAACACTGATAGCAATGCAAATGAATTAATTCCTGGAACTAAATAGCACAAACAATACAGCTGTTTGTATGTTTTGTAGGTGGGCGTGATGGCAACGACAACAGTTAGGCTGAGGCTGCTTTTTATGTTGTTGAGTAACATTTAGGTTACACTGAAGAAGAAAGAAATTGGCAGACTAGGGGGTATAAAGACAGAGACAGAGGTAAGTAAAGCTTGTTATCAGCAAAACAGTGGTTTACTTAGGCAAACTATCCACTGCATTATATAATGTGACACTAATAGGGATAAGTTTGCTCAGAAGTTTTGTAATTATGGCCAAACTGACTAAATTTGAAGAACTGAAGCTTGGAAATGCACAATTATTTTTCATTGTCATCCATTGCTTTCATACACAGCCACTTATTCATGCAGCAGCCACTAGAGGGTGCTGCTGCTTATCATCATCATCATCATCATCATCTTACCTCCTTCAGGGACACACAGAGACGGGTATGGAGCCTATCCCAGCATGCACAGGGAATAAGCCCCTGACCTACAGTCTATGCTCAGACCTAACAGCCAGTAGGCAATTTAGCTTTTTAGTTAACCAAACCTGCATGTGCTTTGAATGTGGGAGGAAAACAGAGCACCAGAAAAAAAAACCCACACACAGAAACACAGTGAACATGCAAACTACTCACGGAAGTAATCTAACTGGTTTGTGGATTCAATTTGCCTCCGAGCCACCTTACCCCTCCATCGTCAAAGATAATGTACTGTAATGAAAAACAGGTTGAATGCATAAAGTTGGCTGGCGTTTCACGTTAACCCAACCCTGATCCTAACCGAACAGGTTGTTGTACCCCAACAATGAAGGACAACAATGTGGGAAGTAAGACTCAAAGGGGACACCGAACCAAAGTCTGAGCTGTTCTGGCTGCCTGTAAACACTTTATACTTACTTATAATTAATTTGAGCTGTCTTTGAGACAAATATCAATATGGATTTTGTGCTCACCACAGCATTGAGGCAGCTCTAGTTAGTGTAAATCACCTGAGTGAGAAGAAACTCCCGATTTAATTTTAACCCTTGGTTTTCCCACTTGATCATAATATAGTCTTGGCAGTGCTAGCAACCAAAATCTTTTCAGTTTACACATTTCGTGGTGGGCCATGCGTTCAACTTTAAACTGTAAGGTTACATTTGTCGGCCAGTCCATCCATTAGTTGATGTTCAACGGAACTGTTGGATACGGTATGCTTCAGTCATTGATCCCCTGACTTTTCATTTAGTGCCCCTAAGAGGTCAAAAAAAATCGTGTCAATATTCAGTTTACATTTTTACTTTGTCCTGGTCGTGTCATGTGTATCTCTCACATGCTAAATGTTAGCATGTTACACTAACCTGCTAACATGTTTACTGGCTAATAGTCTACTGTTGGCATTCTTCTACATATGAAGACAAAAGTTAAAGCATTAGGAAGCCGTTTAGATGTTAGCAAGCTAAATTCGTTTACAGCTTAAGGTGAAGTAATGTTACAGCTGAGGTGATAGGCAAACAGTGCAGGCCAAACTGCACTGCTAGTGAAGAATGTTTTGCTAAACTATTGTCTGGACTCTTGGAAGTCCACAAACTGTCATTATATTAAGTAAGTTAAAACAAGCCCGTGCTGAATAACGTTCAGTCCTGTTAACACGCCAGCTCAATTACAATATTTAAAGACCGTTTCAAAAGACAAAAGGTGCACTGGTAATTAAAAATACCCTGCTTCACCTGTGTCTAGCTTGTGCGCATGTCAGGACACAGCAAACAGTGTGATCGAAGCTGTTAATTAACTCTTACCTGGAAACCTCCAGGACTCTGCTGGATGTTACCATCTCTCTCGTTTTGACATTTACCTGAAGATGGTCGCTTTTAGAGGACTTTATCATAGGTTCTCCTGCCTGGCAAAAGTTGCTGCTCAAAAGCAATTCAGGAGATATGACAAATGGTGCACAACTGGCATCATGGCGGGCAATAAGGTAGGACAATCATTTCACACTCAAGATACAACTGGAGAGGACAATGTCTGGCAATATAGAAAGTGTAGTGTACAGTTTGCTCAACTTGCACACACTACTTGGACTCCACATATATTTAATTTCTGTAGCTGTAGAATAATGATGAACGGTTTAACAAACTAAACCTTTATGAAAGTCTGCTCACAAATCTTGTTTAACTTTTCTGAACAAGTGGATAGGGAGATATTGAATTTGTGTTTTAAAAACTGAAGAGAAAGACTTTATTTGTTTGAGAGATGTAAAGCTGAAATTACTCCCATATCTCCCATTAAGGAAGTTTAGTGATGTTTGTACTTGCTTCCATGAAACTACACACTAGAATTACTAATCTCAGTGTATCCATGAGGAGGCATTGCGTTTTCTACTTTTAATGACTTCCGAGTAAAAAGAAACTTCACTATGACTAAAAAAGGAGAAGAAAAGTATGACACGAGCTAAAAACAAACTTCCAAGATGCAGCGCAGTGGCTGAAAAATTGCTATCTAGATTGTAAAGCCTAACGACTGTAAACTGTGCCAAGAAATTCATACTGTGACTGTACATCAAAAGCAGAATGAGAGTGTTTGTCTTGTCTGTGTTCCCACATCACAGTGTTTCTCAAGACGTAGGCTTAGAACAGTTTGATCATAGTAACCATACTTCCTCTTTTGTGGCTTGTTGCTATGGCAAGACTTCCCTTCCAGGCAGGAAGTGACAGGAAGACCCGAGTGATGAGTTTTTTTTGTGTGTGTGTGTGTGTGTGTGTGTGTGTGTGTGTGTGCGTGCGTGCGTGCATGCATGAAGAGTGTGCATCATGTTTGGGTGGAGCACTTTACTGTGTCCCCTGGCAGTGTGCACATCGTATTAAGACTTTGGCTTGTTAGTCCGGTGTCTGGGCCGCCATGGCAAAGAACAGCAATGCTCTAGGGATTCCTATTGGCCACATGGTGAGTTGGCAACACTCTTGTTAGGTTTGGTTTGGTTCTGCAGCTGTCCTTTTGGATCCAGAGGTTTGTTTATGCATTCATGATGTATAAAGGAGGAGGCTTTATCAGCCCTTACACAGTGGCGTTTCAAGACAGCAAGCACATCTATATTCCAAGTACCAAGAGTAGGTTAGAACAGTTTCTTGTGTTGACTTGCATTGTCTGTCCCAGCTCCTCAGCAGAGCCAGAACCAATCAAGCTGTGTGACTGCAGTTGGTTGCTACTGAAAACAGACCAGGCCTGCCTGAGTCAGAAGCGGAAACCAAGCCATGCCTGTTTGCCAATCTGTCATGTGTAGGCTGAGTTGGCGTCTGTGTACTCTGTGCGAGACCATTACATTTCTTGAATTGCCAAACGTGTGAAAGAGTGTATAAAGATGTATTTCACAGAGGCAGAGAGGAGCTGGATGGTTTAAAAAAAGGGGCTCTCTGTACTTTCTGTGTGATTGGAAGAGTTCCCATAATTGGTGCTGCATCAGACTCTTCCCTCGCAGAGTACGTTTGCATATCTCGTCTCTCCTTGAAAGGATTTGCAGAGAATCCTAATCCTTTAGATACTGTTCTCTGCTGCAGCATACAAGAACGAAAGGTGCTTGAGCAAGACAATGATGAGTCATTTGCCTTCATCATTGTGGAAAACTGTGGATTTAGAGTGTGTCGTCTTCTCCTTGGAAGTGTATTTGTAAGCACTGACATGTGTTTGTTTTAATTTTTTTGGAGCCAGTGTTTGAGCAGCAGAGCACAGAAGTGAAGAGGTGGGGTCACAGTGGAGCTCACAAATCGACTTTATATGAGCAAAGTTTATCAAATACCATGAGCTGTTGCCTTTTGAGCTGTTGTCAAGCACAGTGACGCTTTCTCTCTGTGTGCACTAAAATTATACTTTTGTACTATACTTAAGTATAACTTATCACTGGCAATTTGTTTAAGGATGAAACTTTAATATTCCTCTTGTGTTAAAGAGCTTTTGACCATCTCTTTCTACATAGGAGATTGGCCTTGGTCTCGTGCCTTGTACTAATTTAGCTGGGTGGGATGTCAAATTCTCTCTCCGAAGACTTCTGTATTTAACTACCTAAACATGAGCTAAGGTTAGTCCCATGGTGTTACCTGGAATTTATTTTTTATTTTTGTCACATAAGAGGAAAAGGTTTTCTCACGACACATACCTTTCAGTGTGACTCAACAGTTTTTCGCACTTGATGTAGGTACAATGTGGTCTTGCCCAGAAATGAGGTCAAGATAAGCTGGACTTTCTGCAAAAACCTCAACTTTACCTAACCTTGAAAAGGTGATTCACATTTTAAGACATTTTAAACAACCAACGCCCAAGCTAAAACATCAAATCAGTAAAGGTCTGGTTTCTACTATCAAGAAAGCTCCTTGTGAATGAGAAAGCTGGGGTGTTAAGCACAGTACACATCAACTCATAATAAAGGAGATATTATAAATCAAGAATGAAAATAAAAGCAAGATTTAAAAAATAAAAATAAAAGCAGAAACTACTGCCACAAACTACAAACCAGTGGAAGTGACAATGCTATGTTAGAGTTCATTTTTATGAACTTTACATCCGGTGTACATTCTGGGCCAGTTGCTACTCACTGCCTATATAGACAAACACACTCACATTCACACCTCTGGGCAATTTTTGAGTTTGAGCCTGCATGTGGTAGGAAACCAGATCACACAGAGGAAACCCAGACAGACAAAATGAGGTGAAGTGCACACAGAAAGGCCTATGTGCCACCCCCTAAATAACATTTTAATATTGCCAGATTCCTGTGTGACTCTGAGAACTTGCTGATCCTCTTTTCTGAAATACCTCCTCGGGGCTTTTTGATCAATATCTAGGTGCCTTGATACCTGAGTAACATGCACACATGGCACATCGGCACAGTTTTGTGTGCAAAGATTTTGCAGCATTGTAGAAACTGAACATGCTTGGACTGAAACAGAAAGAAGTCTTACAGGCTCTGAAAATTTGTGAGCTCTGAAAGCTGAATGAGAGCCATTGTCAACAGTGTCACAACCACTTCCTGTGAAAACAGCTTTGGCTGATTGCACTACATTGTGATATAGAGAAAAAGCCAAACATGTGCAGCTGGTGTTCACATTTCACTTCCTAAATGTATGCCCTTTGTGTTTTTGAATGCGCGTCTAACTTCTGTATTTCGAGTACACTGTGCCGTGTACATTGTAAAGCTGTTACTGTCATTTCTTAAATTTACTGAAAATACCTGAAGTTAGTTTTTATGATTTCAATCATACTAATGTTGAATTTCTCATTTCTCTGTCTACCTCCACCTCCTCACAGAGCCAGGCAGTGTCAGACGGAGGTAAGCATGAACAACCAACACGCACGCTGAAAATGCTGCACATCTCGCACTATCTGCAAACTGAAACATGTCTGTACACGACAAAAGAAAGTATCTGATTCAGTCTCGTTCTTGGTCATGCTTTTCTATGCTGATAAATGGGCGTGTATGTGCCTGGATGTGTTGTAGAGTTGAACATGTCTGCACGGGGCTGTGGAGGCAGCAGCTCCAGCCTTCCAGGGACTCCCGGTGGAGAGGCCAGCCCAGCCACTGGTGTGCTGAGCTGGGCCGTCTCATTTGAGAAGCTGTTGGAGGACCCCTGTGGAGTCGGCCACTTTACGGTGAGAATGTTGTAATTTTTAACAAGTTCAAGAATAATTCAAGCGTTGTCGTTTCCTAACGACCTCTCACTCTGAGCCATGTATGTTCATACGCTGTATACGGGTCTTTCTCCACAGGCCTTCTTGAAGTCAGAGGTGAGTGCGGAGAACATTTTATTCTGGCAGGCTTGTGAAAAGTTCAGGAAGATCCCAGCCACCTCCTTGGTTGAGGTATGATGAGACTTTCACCTCTCTACCTGGTGAATTATCTTCCCTGTTATGATTCATTATGGTGTTGTGTGTTTTTATGTTAAAATATTTCTATATTTAGTGAACAAGCCTCAGGTAACATTAATCAACAATTCAGTATACACTTTATTAATTTAATGTTGACCCCAGTGGCAGATAAAGCTGTTTTTAAATCCTTCTTTGCTTTCTTTTGTACTATTCCATCAAAATAAAATTGGCTAGTTTTAAAAGCTATAACCAACTTGAATCTATTGTGTACCTTGCAGGCAGAAGGAAATATTGTTCGGATAATTCAATTCTGTTAAGAAACAGGAAGTGCAGGCATTGTCAGGGTTATTGACTGTTCACACATAAACTGAGTGTCTGCGGTTGCTCAGCTCACTGAGAAATGAATTGCCTTTTTAGTGAGTTATTGATTGTATTACTTGCAGTGTGGATTGTTTGGGAGGGGGGTTGATTCTTGGTATAGCTAACAAGTAAGGAGAGTGTATAAATATATACAGCCCCACTGATTACTAATATTGTTATTTGGGGATTTTAAATTCAAAAATCTGCCCATTTATTCTTTTTTTTTCTTTTCAGAATCTCATAACATAAAGATTATTCCTTATTCCACATTTGTTATGTGTAGTTATGAGACCTCAAGATAATGTGACATAATGCAGTTTAAAATTACCTTTTTTAAGTGCTGATTATGTCAAATTATGGATTTATGGCCTACCAAACACATGTTGCTGACAAAGGCATTGCAGAGTGCCCTCTGGTGGACAAACTATGCAGTTAAAACACTCATAACATGATTGGAAGATCCATCTGCTGTCTGTTTTTTAATTGTCATTTATCAGCTACAAACACCGATATAGATGTATCCTCAATTAGAGGTACAAGGTAGTTTGCATAAAGAAATTTGTAGTTCCTTCATTCTCCGTACTTGTAAATGCTCCATACTTGTATAGCGCCTTTCTAGTCTTTTTGACCACTCAAAGCGCTTTTACACTACATCCAGTCACACACATTCATACACTGAGCCTAAGTGCTCAAACGGAAACTAACATTCACCCACATCCATAGCGGCTATTCCGCCAGCCAGGGGTAATTCGGGGTTCAGTATCTTGCCCAAGGACACTTCGACACGCAACCAGGGAGCCGGGGATTGAACCGCCGACCTTCCGATTAACAGCCAACCCGCTCTACCTCCTGAGCCACAGCCGCCACACACAACATATATAATTAAGTGTAGGCCTATATTAAAAATATGGTAACATAAAATAAAACAAGATATACAACTATTTATATACATACACATGTACACCCCAAACATTCACAGTGCATTTTTTTGAATTTGCATACTGGCTGAATTTAAACAGCCGCAACCAGATGATGATATGAAAGTTTCATCTTCACAATAAACAGCCTGACATTTGGGAAACAGAGTCCATCTTGACTGCATTTGTGCACCAAGCATCAAAGATGTAAAACAGAGTTCACTTACACTCATCTTGCCGAAGTCTTGCGCCGGCAGCTGGGAACATGGACCACCTGCCGAGTGCTTGATCCGGGATGTTGATGGGGCAGATCTCTGTAATGATGTGTGCACAACAGTCTCTGAATTCCGTTGCTTGGTCAGCATGAGTCCGATTTTGTCCAGACTGGATCTATAGGAGCACAATTAAGTCCAAGCTGGACCAACATGGCTCCTCTCCTGGCTCTTTCCTCTCCTCTGAGTGAACACTGCACCCGCACCTAGTCCGGTTGTTTGAGCTAGGTGGATTGTGGTCTGCTGCTCTTTAATTCAAAAAACCTGTCTCTATCTTCCAATGAGTGTACTTATGTCAGAAGTAACATTGTTTTGGCAATAAAGCCAGAAAAAAAACATTTAAAAAAACAAGTGTAGTGAAGTTTGAAGGAGCTTACAGCTGCTGCTTCTACAAGCGCTGCTGGTTAGCTCATATCGTTTGATATTTTCAGCATGCTGACTTATTGATTGGGCTCTAATACAGTGAGTGGCTTCTTATTTGGGTATTGAAAGCTACATACTCAGATCAAAGTGCCTTTGGGGTTTGTATAACTCTTGTTAAAATGTCTCATCAGCGTAGAAACAATGATTAGGAAACAAAGTGTAGGTCATATCTAATCTTTAGGAGGTTTCAGTCTGATGGTGCTGTTGCGTTCCCAGCTGAAAGCAGCAGCCCGCTCCATCTACAACACCTACCTGTCTGACAGCGCTCCCTACTCAGTCAACATCGACGACACGGCCAAAACCGAGGAGAAGGACCTGGAGCAGCCCACACCTGATATGTTTAACAAAGCTCAAACGCAGGTCTGTTTGTCCACACTCCCATTTTACCCATACATTGTTGGTGTCTTGGCTGACTGTGTGCCACTGTTTCCTGCTTTGTTTCAGATATTTAAACTGATGAAGATGGACAGCTACAGGCGCTTTGTGCGCTCTCCTCTCTACCATAAATGTACCTTGGCAAGTGCAGAAGGCAAACTTTCGCCTCAGCTGTCTACAGAGCATGTCCGCATGGGATCCTGGGAGGATGTGGCCACCAGAAGCCAATCATTAAATGAAAAGAAGGTAGAGTGACCGGGAGGAAATGGACTGAGGGGCGGGGAAAGGAAATAAAAACATGTGATTTCTTGTCTTAATTTTGCTGTAATGGCATTTCTTTTCATCACACTCTTAAACAGAATAAGAAGTCAGACTTTAACAGCTTGCCTGGTGACAAGAGTGCCTCAGAGAAACAGCGACAGAAAAGAGGATCCTGGGGAGGTAGTGGCTGTCAAATGTCACATTTTGTGCTTCTAAGTTATTCTGTGATGTACATCCTGTGATTTAACTTCACAATTTCTCTTCAGTTCTCTTATTCTTTTCTTCCCATCGATAACTATAGATCCATCCAACATCTTTGGTTCAGTCCCCCATATGTCAGTCAAGTCAAGCAGCAGTGTGGAGCTCGGCTCCCTCTACAGGCAGATAGAGGTTAGTGCATCAAGTAACAAAAGGGTTTGTAGCTGGCTCATGGAAAATCGATGTTATTTTAAAGTTTTTTGATTACTGAGGCACACATGGTGGACAAAATGTAGTCTTCAAGGTGACAAATGTCAGTTCAGAAGAAAACCTGCCATAAAGTGACTCACTCTATTGTTCTAAAGGATATTTTTCACTCTTAAATTCCTTCCTCTCTTCTCCATCTGTGATGTAGAATGGCAGATCGATGCCCGGGCCTCCAGAGCAGGTAGGTGGGAGTCGGATAGGGGTGGAGGGAGGCTACTGCTGTGTCTACCTCCCTGATGGCAGTGCCTCCCTGGCCCCGACACGTAATGGCCAGCCCATCAAAGACATGCTGGCCAGCCTGTGTGAGAAGAGAGGCTTTCCACTGAAAGATGTCATCATCTACCTTCAAGGCAAGGACAAGGTGAGCACTTAGCTGCTTTGTCTACAGCACCCAAAAATCAAGAAGCCATTCAAAAATATCTACTGTACCACACTTCAAAGTTGATGTCCTGATATTCTCTCAACCTCTTACTGCCTCGTCCTACTTTTAATTTCTGAAACTTTGTGGATTTTATTTTACCCCCATTTGATACTGACATCTCTGAAAGTCACTTTACTTTCTCTCTGTTGCTCCCTCTATAGCAACCCTTATCGCTGGACCAGGACTGCTCCGTACTGAGAGATCAGCAGGTCTCTCTAGAGCTCAGGGTGACGTTTGCGTGAGTCAGCTGTGTCACTTCCTCCTTCCTTTTCATTTCCTTTTTTGTCACCTCAGCAGGCTTTGTCATCCCCATCCCCATTACAGCATACCACTTCTTATATTATTAGAGGGAAGTCCTCGTGTCAACACTAGGCATTGACATTTGTATTTGCTTCTAAGACATCATTGGGATTTTTCCTGTGGTACATGCTTTGCATGACTAGATTTTCATGATGCCATACTGCTGTGTTACTGCATTTGACTTTTATACTGTTTGTGCTTTCTTTTTTGAGGGAGCTCATTATAATGCATGTGGGTTTCAGGCTGGAGATTGCCTTCACTGGTAAGACAGTGGGGATCATGGTGAAGTCCAGTAAGACGTTGCAGGAAGCCCTCTCTGCGGTACTTCAGAAACACAATCTCAAGCTGCAAGAGGCCCAGGTCACCATGGTGAGTCTGTATGTGAGAATGAGACCATGACATGTATAGTACTTGTAGTTACTCAGATAAAGTAATTTCTAATTAGTTTCTCTCAATTGTAAATAACTTCCAATACTAATTGAGTTTATTTCTGAAAGCAGAGTTGGTGAAGGTGTCAGGGATTTCTAACGTGTAACTAACATCTCCCTGTAACAGTCTTGTATTTCTGTGAAATAAATTCATTTATGACTCGCCTCCATTTTCCAGACAAGCAACAGACCTTTTTAAAAATTGTTGCTAACAGTTTATGCATCAGTGTGCATGTAAATATTTATGTCAAATCTGTAATTTTAAGGTGATTACTGAAAATTGAATGTTACACTATTGTGTTCGTGGAATAAGCAATGAAGATTATACCGTCTTGGTAATGCATTAATGTGTTTTTTTTTTGTGTTCTGTAATGCATAATTTTTTTCTGCGGGCTTGATTCTTAGTCAATTAATTCTTAGTCTTAATTCTTAACTCATTGTTGTCACCTTCGGTCTGCCTGGAACCCTTCATATCTCATTCCCTCGTTCATTTTAGGTTGGATGCGACGAACCCGTGAACATGACCATCAATGTGTTCCGACTTGCCAATAAGACTTTACGGCTTGACAAAACCAAAGGTTAATATACTTGACCTTTTTTATTTATTTTTTTTAAAAACCTAATGTTTTACTTTAATGTGAACTACAGAGAATCCTGTTTACATCATTTAACAATTACTACACTGCTTTCCAAAAAGTACAAGCGGCCACAAGATGAAAAGACCCACAATTGACCAATGATAAAATGATAAGTTCAGTCAGATAAAGGCATATTCCAGCCCTCCATCCACTGTCTGGGTGATACATCGGTAATGCTTTGCATATTCTCCTCTGCTGCCTGACCCTTGGCTGTGCCTTTTGACTTATCCAGTTGATTGGTCCTAGAAAGTGTTTCTGCCTTTCTTGGCCCTTGCTTGGTCTTAGCTGGCGGCAAAGAAAGTCTTTTCACTGTCCACTTAAGTGTCCTGGTTTTTCTGCGTCACTGCCTGTGTGTTCCTTTTTTCCCCACTTTGATTTCTTTGTGTGTGTCTCGGTCTCTTTATTCTTTTCTGGGGCTGAAATGTCTGAGTCCATTTGGTTTGTTGAGTGCTGTGTTCACTCACCTCATTTCCCAACTGCTAAGAGACCAGAACCAACTTCACTTTGTATTAGTGCACCTCACCTTAGCTCCCCTCACTGCATGTAGGAAGCGGGAAATGGATTCGATTAGAGTGGCTGTGTGCCAGGAGGACCAGTTTCATTGTTGCCAGGAATATTTTATCTGGCTGATATCAGTGTTTAACACAGTGGGGAAGTTGTCCAGCATCATCAGCAGTCCACATTATGCTTTCGTACTGAAAGTAGAGGAAACTGATTTGTATCTTTTTGTTTGAGCAGGAAGAGACCAAAGCACCGTTTCTAAAGGCAGTGGTTCTGCTGCAGTCACACAGGTAAGGTAATGGTAATAGACTGCTAAACGTCAAACAAATCTTATTGCCATACTGTTGTGTAAAGAAACATTTTATTTTTAAGATGCTCCTTTATGATACTGTTGTGTCATGAAATTGTTAAGAATGCCACAGCTTTATTATTCAAAAACATAATTTTGACAGTGTTAAAAAGAAAAGGCAAGATCCTTAGATGCTCTCGGTTATTATTAGCTAAATAAAGATTATCTCATGTCCCACTACACAACCATGACACTACTTTTGTCATACTCAGAATTCAAACACTTAAACTAGGTGACAGTAAATACACAAATCAGCCGTAACATTATGACCCCCTGCCTAATATTGTGTGGGTCCCACTTTTGCCACCAAAAGAGCCCTTACCCGTCATGGGTCTGGGCTGTGGAATCTGGCACAAAGATGTTAACAGCAGGTCCTTGAAGTCAAAGTTGCGAGGTGGAGCTTCCATGGTTCAAACTTGTTTGTCCAGCACATCCCACAGATGCTCGATTGGACTGAGATCTGGGAAATTTGGAGGCCAAGTCAACACCTTCAACTCATTGCTGTGTTCCTCAAACCATTCTTGAGCCATTTTTGCTTTGTAGCTGAAAGAGGCCACTGCCATCAGGGAATACAGTTTCCATTAAAAGTTGTACAAGATCTGCAACAATGCTTAGGTAGGTGAGCCTTGGCCATCCATGACCCTGTCGCTGGTTCACCACTTCTCCTTCCTTGGACCACTTTTGATTGATACTGACCACTGTAGTTCAGGAACACCCCACAAGAGCTGCAGATTTGGAGATGCTCTGGTCCAGACAGCTAGCCATCACAAATGGAGTCTTGTCAGTCACTCAAATCCTTAGGCTTGCCTATGTTTCCTGCTTCTAAGGCATCAACTTTGAGGACTATGGCAGAATCCCAATGTCCTCTCTCAGACTTTGAGGCGCGTTCCCGGGAAGTCCATGAGGGCTTAGGGCTGTCCCATTGCCAAATCGTCAAATGCACGAGGGCTCTCTCGTGGACATTTTGAGCCCTTTTTAAACCCTTTTCATAAGTTCGCATTTCTGCAGACCTTGCCTGAGGGAATTGCCCACAGTTCATAACAGTATGACGTGATACACGGGGGGGGGGGTTACCAAGGGACACCTGGAACGAGGGAAATGTCAAGGCAAATCTGCCTTTATAATAGAAGAACGGTAAACAACAAGCATGGACACGAATGCTGATGCTAAAGTTGTTTGAATTTTCTTAACATAGTTTTAAGATGGTACATAGAACACATGAAGTCACAGGAAAGCAAACAGCTGCAGGACACAAAATTCTTGTTAGAAAGCATCAACATTTATCTCTGATGAAAAATCGAATCCTTGTATAATTAGTAGAATTTATAATCTACAGTTTTACTGTAATTTAAACCCTATGAAATGTTATTTCATATGTATTTATAATGCTTGCATCTGTTTTGGTCCCAGGCAGGAGCAGTGAGTGCAGGCGGTGTGGAGGCCCCAGTCATGCGAACCAAGACTCAGCCCAAGCCCAGTAAGAACCGCGACATGGATGGTAGGACATCTCAGCAGTATCTAGTAGGGTTGGGCGATATGGAAATATACACCATAAGATGAGAGAAAATTTGACAACAGTCAGAGATTCTTCCTCATCACTTATAACAAGGAATCTGTGTATTTACCAAATGTTTTAATCAATGTGGTGAGAGAAGAACAGTCTCTCAATTTGAGCTTAGATATTCATTCTTGACCTTGGAAACGGAGGCTTTGCAAAAAAAAAATTCTCAAGACTAGGATACATCCCATGTATCTCTTCTATTTCCTTGCTCCTCGCTTGATCCAGAAGTCGTTCTGGTCTGCCATTTTGCAGGCCGTCCCAAAGCTCTTATTTCTGCTGTGAGGTCCGAGGAGCGACCTTTGAGGAGCTACAGATACACCAGAGCAGCCTTAACGGAAGTCTTTTACTGGCCAACACGCCCCTAGTTATTGAGTGGATGCTGCACCTGATCGGACTGATCTGATACATCATTGAAGTTTCATACTGGAGTGAAGACGCATAACGGATTATACTCCCAAGTTTTATATTTCATTTGTTTTCTAATCCACCATCTGGTTAAAGTCTGCGTTAATTGTAGGTCTGAATAACAAAAGGACCACAAACAACTTTCTTTTATTAGAAATGTTTTTTTCACAATCTAGTAATTCCGCCCATTAACTTTTATTATGGATTCAATTTAAACTTTTAATAATGGATAGATAATGGTCGGAGACAAACACTTTTACTCATTCCGTTAAGTAACGTGAAGCTGGAAATTCCTGAGCGTCGGGTTTGATATGAGTTACATCATTTAAATTTCCCTTTAAAACTTTTAACCTAACTAATCATTTCCAGTGTTTAAAAAGACTGGGTTATTGGACACAAACTCTATCAATAAGATTGATCAAAAGCTACAAATTGGACCAAGAAGTGAGTTTCTTCAGTTTAATATGTACTTTATTTCTTTACATTCATACTGCAGTATAAAATTATATATAACATTATTTTATCCATATCGCCCATCCCTATTATCAGCCAGGATGCGTTTGAAGAACACTATGCTATTTATATGACATAATCACTGTTATATATTTATAAAACTTATCTAGAACAGGTTGAGACAGTAGGTGTTACTTAATTATACACTCAACTATAAAATGTAAATACCTTAAGCAGATTAGCAATAGCAGTGTTTTTTTGTTTGGGGTGTGTGTGTGTGTCTGTCAGGATTACTTGACATGCTGACGAGGGCTCAGTGCAGCAGGGTTGATGACCAGCGAGGCCTTTTGACCAAAGATCAGCTCGAAGTCCCTCTGTTCCTGCAGCTGCCCTCAGACCAGGGGCAGGACACTGTACTAAATGAGCCCAGTAGAACCAGCTCCACCACTGCAGACTCCAAAGAGGTAGACGTCAAAGAAGACAAGACATGTTCAGCTGGAGCAGCGAAGGACATGCCTGACACTGCTAAATCTGTACCCAAAGACAGGGAAACGACAGTCTGAAAGACTTCTGGGGAGGGAGGGGGGCACATTCAAAAGCTACAAACGTCTAGCAGCATCATGTTGCTGTTCGTGTCAAGACAGTCAAAATGGTCAAGCACTTTTTATAATTGTTTACAAATAAGCTCTGAGACAGCAGTGTGCTACCATCTCTGCTACTGATAATTGGCCCTTTTGAGGCATATGTTAAGAAGAAAGATCATGGCAAGCATTGATAGTGTCATTTTAAAACACTACACATCTTAATAGGGGGGAAATGTTCGCTATGAATTGTTTATATATCCAAAACTGTTCTGAAAAGAAGTTTTTGCCTCCACATTTCATCCTGATGCCTGTGTGTCTTTGCTTTATTGTTCCTCGATGTTTTTTTTTTTTTCCTGTACAGTCTGCAGTTCACATTGCTTTTAATTCTCACAATCTCACATTGAATCCATGCTCTTCTTTGAACTCTAAGCAAAATCATGTCTATGCACAGGACTGTCCAGACGGGGGTTTTGAAGTGTATTGCACAGTTGTTTTCTCCTTTTGAATTAAGTTTATTGAATATTTTTACTGATGAGTTTTTAATGTTTTAAATGACAAATTTGTTTTGTGTGCTTGCTTGCCATATTTGTTTGCGGTACTTAAAAATGCATTTTGTTTGCTGTGATAGCATAGCACTTTGAGAAGCCCTGGTCAAGTCCTGTTTTTCTGTCACCTCAGACTAGGGTCCAGAGAATTAGTAATGTGATATTACAGGAAATGGATCAGATGTATTATCAAAAATATCCCTTCGGGTGTATCCAAACAATTAAAGTGTTATGATGAAATGGGATCCTTTTTGTCTGTATTTGGTGTTGGGGAAAGATTCCTGGTTTCAACTTTTAGCCAACAGTAAGGATTTCTCTTTTGTGTTTATTCTTTTTTTTGATGAATCACTGAGGTCAGTTTTTGACTTCACATTTGCTGTGTGATTTGGTTTTATACGTAATGCTAGTGGGGGTCTGGCTGCATGACTCATGCAGTCTGTGTATCTGCCTGTATAGCTGTTGATTGTAATTGGCTTTGATTGTGTTGGGTCTTTGGTGTGTCCTGGTAGTGAAACCTCCCTCTAAAATGCCATCATGTGATGTCATTTTTGCACTGTGACGGTGGATCATTGCACTGCCGTGATTGGCTCTTCATGAAGGCCCTGTAGCCAATGACTTGCTTAATCTGTCTACATACTTGTTGCTGGAGGGTATATTCAAGCAGAGGAGCCTGGGAAGACTATTATGGGGTGTATGTGACTATTGTGTGGGTTACAAAACAAATTAGATGAGTCACAGATGAATTCATCCACATGGATGTCAGCACCATGTGTATTTTAGAGTACTTCACAGCATGAGGTTTGGGAAGCATCCCACCTGCCTATATAATTACCTTTTTGTAGATGTGATTGTCACTGAAGTAATTAACCTGAGACAATGAACAGAGCTGTGTAAGTAAGCATTAAGGTGCAATATACGATATCTGTATGTTAGACCCACAGCTTCCAGCTGCCAGGCTGGAGATATTAACATACACTACTATGATTGGTGTGTGTGTGTGTGTGTGTGTGTGTCCGTCCATCCATCCATACATGCGTCGGCGGAGCTATGAATGGGCAGAGAGGGGTGTGCTCTCACAGACACCGTAGCAGCAGTGAGATGAGGAGTGCCATCTACTCCACTGCACGTCTATACTGAGCGAAGGGAGAAAAGGAGGTGAGTGTCTGAATTTCCCCAGGCATGTAATCTAATTTTTTGGGGGGGAGATCGATCGGCTCGTTTACCCAGTAAATGTATTTACTTGCCCTTTATCTTGCTGTCACTCCCATCATTCATTCTCTCCTCTTGTCCCCCCCCCCCCCCCCCCCCATTTCTGAGATTTATTAAATACCTTATTTTTTGTTATTTACTGCTTTCAGTATTCTACATTGTGATGGACAACCAGTTTTGAATGTCTCCTTTCTGAACTCAATCATTTGTTAATTTGGAGCTCTGAATGGTACTCACTGTGCCTTTTTGAGAGTCCTGCAGCGGAATATATAAGTGGCGTAAAACCAAACCCATCCATCAGATCAATGCTTGCACATTAATGTGCACTGAAAGATTCTGGTCAGCCGGGGATGAACGGACAGTGTTCAGTGTGTTAAAAATGAAAACGATAGTGGCGTTATCGGTACTGACTCTTATTGACTCTACTGACTCTCTTGTGAGATGCACATGGTCGAGCTGTGGTCCACTGCTGACTATCAATTCATGCAGCTGGGGCGGGGGGGGGGGTTGGAGTGTGTCACACCTGAGCGTGGCAGAACAGGCAGCCCATCATCATCAATTACAGGACACAATGTTCTTGCCAGTGTGAGCCGTCTTAATGTGCTCCCCCTCTCTCCTGCTGGACTTACTGTCCAGATGTTCACCTTGGTGTTCTAACCCCCTCTGTATGCATGTATGTGCTATAACAGCCTCTATAGTTATCATGATCACGCGATCTTCTGTGATTAGCCTGTTCAACGGCAAAGCTGTTTTTACCTCCTGGACTGAAATTATGGGGTAATAAAAGAGTGGAAACTATCTCAAAGTTGCTTTTCACTCAGTTCAAGGCTGAAAGGGTATATTCTGTCATCGTTACTAGATGAATGAATGAACTCCGATGACCACAAGTTGGAGAGACTATCAGAAGGGTTTGGATCTTCAGCAGGTTATCAAGTTCAAGAAGACGGCAGGACGTGGTGATTCAGATGAAACTTGACTGTACTGTTCTGTTTGTCTTTTCTTTTTTTCTGTTCTTGTGAAACTCTCTAAAATGAAGCTTAAGAAGTTCTTGTCATGTGCTTCTCAGTTTGGGAGTTAATTAGTGTTGACCCAACACTCCAAGCTTTGAGCAGGGCCAATCTCTGCCGCTGTTATGGATTTAAATCTTCAGAACAGACTTTCCGTAAGGCTAAATATTCTCTTTTCTACCTCAGATTTATAATCTTCCTCTTGCAGTGTCTCAGTCAAAGTGATGACAGAAAGAGGTGCAGTGCAAAAGACTGCGAGGCAAAATATTTGCTCATTCTTGCAGAAAGAGGTCCTGAGTAGCTTTTAAAGTCTCAGTGTTGCTTTGTGTGTGTGTGTGTGTGTGTGCCCCTCTCCACGCAATAATGTGTGAGCATTTTGTGCGTGCACGCTTTTTTTTGTATGCATACCACAAAGAGGCGTGTGTGTCACCTCGGCTGTTGTTAGCTTGCTCATGTGGATTAATCAATAGCGAAGTGTTTCTCAAAGCCACTGGGCTTCTCTACCTTGGCTGCTAAGGAGATGCGCTTCAGCACCGCTTCTAGCCTATGCGGTCCTTCATCCCCTTTGCCTTGCCATAGAAAGGAGGGATTCCTCATTTAACAGGAGACAGACATTTGAGATTTAGGTAATTTCCCTCAGTGAGCTGGTCCGAGAAAGCACTCGGGACTCGGTGAATGTCTGGCCATCCTCCCGTATAATACACATTTTAGAATAAAAAGAATGGAGCACACAACAGTCTTGTATACCGCTGGGTGTCCCAATTGAACATGTTTGTGCATAATAGGTTTTATGTATGAAAGAAGCTGGGCACACCACTGGGTCAGTCCCTCTGGTACAGATTATTGAATTGACTAGCAGAGTTCCCTGCAACATCAAATGTGGCACAACCATGTCTGCTGACGTTAGCCGTCACAGTGTGAGCGAGCGCCTGTCGATCAGCTCAAATGCCCATTCTTCATGAGCCCTGGGGTGAATGCTTCCTGTAGTGCGGCAGGCTGAATTCGGTGCTATACAATTCACTGTCAGTTCAGTGAGATCAGAAAGTAACTTTCTACATTTTTATTATCTTATCAAAATGCTAAACATAGTTTCGAGGAAGAAATTATTTTGTCATCAGTAATATAATGCACTGAAAAAACTTAATTATAACTGGCAATGTCAATTTCTGTGCACCAATCAGGATTTTGCAACGTTTGAATGATTGAATATTTAATGTTGTAGAGAAATACTTGAGTGTTCAGGGGTTATCACCTGAAAATAAGAATTATGTTTTTGTTACATTAGAATGAGCTATTTTCTTTACAGGAGCAGTGTGTCCTCTTCAATGAAGTAGCCCAGAACTGACAAATCAAACACTAGCTCTACAGGGTCTCTACATATGTTCTCCTCCTGGCTTGTAACAGGAGGGTGAGGGGAAGGGTTATCGATTGCTTGCAATCTGTAGCCTCACCACTAGATGTCACTAAATCATACACACTGGTCCTTTAGTACTCAAAAATATGCAAACACCCATTAAATTAAATAAATGTCAAACACATATTGCCACAAGAATTGAAGAATGTAATCATATTTCTGTCAAAGAAATTGATATTGGTGCAGCAGTGAGTTAAATTTGGCCGAGCCTATAGCTCTGAGCACCTCCCTGCCAATCCATGTGCAAACATGGAAGGCCTGAGGCAGAGAACGGCAGTAAAGACCCCCCAGGGTAGAGAACAGAGCAGGCTTTATTACAGAATGACATGATTAATCAGATATGGCCTGAAAAGAGGAGCTGGGGTGGCGGTGGGTTACAAGCCGATTGCACAAGAAGCAGCGAGGGCAGGCAAGCTAGAACAGCTTAAATAAGGCGCCTTGTATGGGATTTACCAATGAATGCTAAGAGAGGAATCAGCTGAGTTGTCAGCTGATGTGGCTTGCTTTAAGATGGCTGCTATCAGCTGATGTGATGGGATTGTGAGGTGAGCTTGACTTTGTTGCCTTCCTGAACTAATACTATGCATACTGTAGGGGACTCGATCAAATAAAGCAAGGTCAGCACACACAAGCACAACGTCCACTTACTTGTTTCCAAAGCTTCCAGCAACATCTTGTGGCCTAACCCTTCAAACTCACTCTTTGTGTTCAGAATACATAACACATAGTATTGCTTTATTATGAGAACATCAGTAAACCACATCTACAAAACTCTCCGATAATTCACCCTTCCAATTACATATGTGTCTCCATGTAAAGGTCTGGCAGAATAGAAAACCTTTAAACGGCCCATTTCACTCTGAGAAGCCAGGAAGTGTTTTGATCTGATCTATCTGGTCAGATGTCAGACAGAAGCAGACACTGACAGGTGTCAGCAGAGTATAAAAAATCTCTCTTGCAAATTGACCCAGACCCAGAGGTGTTTTGTTCCCAGCCAACAGGGCTCATGACACCAGCTGTGGATCTGGCTGTGACTGTTGGCTGGTCTTCACTGTGGCCTTTTCACCCGTGCAGAAATTGTTTTTTTGTGCCTGTATGGCTCCGTGTGTGGGGTTTTTGATATATTTAGTCTATCCCCTTTCAAAGTGGATTCTTCTTCCTGCCTTTTTATGTGTTGTGTTTCTTAAAAGCATTAATTATTGCTTAATTATTTATTAAGTGAATCTGTTTAATTTAATCTCTTAAACCTGAGTTTCCAAGGATGTCAATTCTGGAAATCTATCCTGTTCCTGCTGGTCCAAAAACTTAATGGACAGAATGTAACAGTGGAGCATCTCTGCTGCTAGGATGCACACAAGCCTTTATTTTATGACATTCATCTTAACATTCTTAATATTTGATAGAAATGTTGTGTAAGGAAGCAGGATTGGAAGCATTATCATCAAGAAAATCCATTTTAATAGCAGTGTCTGATACTGTGATTTCTGCCAGTAGGATGAAAATAAAAAGTCAAATTAATTAGCAGTCAGGTGAAAAGTGTTTTTCCTTCTGTTTTTACAAATCAAAATGAGATGCAGTGATAGGAGCACCAGTGTCTACGTCTCAGTTTGGCGATCAGTACCAATCTCCAAGGTTAATCCCAGAGGAAAATCACCCAGCTAAATATTCTCAGAAGGGAGGTGGAATCAACAGTGGATTCCTGAAGCAGAGTCGCCATCTAGTGGAAAGAAGTCCTACAGAGAACCTACAGATGCTCCTTGAGCCCCTCATAGAAGCAGATGAATCAGCAAAAGGTCTTGCATTTAACCACTACATACAAACACATGGCTGTAAAGTCTCTCTTGTTCTTTCACCTTTCTTTATAGTTGTACAACCGCACTACGCCACAGGACATCATCCATCCTACACCTGCACCAGCACTGAGCTTCTCCTGAGAAAAATCCTTACGTCGGCCATGGAACAGAAGGTGAATGAGGTGTGAAAGCCAGATGAACAAAATATTTGAGTCATTCTGGCTGTGTCAAATGTGATCCTCCCTCTCTATCCTTGTCTCTCTAGAGTCCCACCACCACCTCTCCTCAGAAGCACATGAAGAACAGGTCCAAATCCACGGAGGAGATGCAACAAACGAAGAAAGTGAGCAGCAGCCTGATATTCAGACTTTCCTAGTGTTTCATTCTAATACTGATTGTTCATACTTTCATTCTCATCAGATCTAATGTGCCCTGTCTTACCTTACAGGCCTTTCCCTCACAAAAATCACTCCCAGGCAAACCAGAGCTGGATAAAGTGAAGGTGGGCTCTGCACGTGTTCCTGTGAAACAAAAGGACTGTGTACTTTGACTTTTTTTCCTGGGTGTTTTGTCAGGCATATTTCTAAATAATTAAATAGGTGCTGTTATGCATTTAATTCTACATCACTCTTGATACTTCATGTAGAATAATTTGAATAAGTAATGATCGGAATGAAATCTAATGAAAAAATTAAATGTATTTGGGAAAACATGGGAATGTACATTGAGTTGGAGCTGTATTTTTCCATACGTCTCCCTGTTTTTCAGGAGTGTCCTGACTGCTCTGACACGCCATCGTCCTCCATGGAGCAACTAAAGTGATAAACCGACGGACTGATAGGACATTAAGAGTTAGCATCACGTTGCAAGTTCATCATACAACATGCATAAAATGTACATATGTACACAGGGAAAAAAACTAAATATTGAAGATAATGGTGAATTAGATTATAAGACATACAAACAATGAATTTATGATTGGCTGAAGGAAACTATAAATTATACTAAATAGAACAAACACACAAACTCGCACACTGAAACAATCGCATGTAAACAAATGGAAACCTGTGATGATACTGTTTCATTGTACTGTGAGTGTCGTATACATACCAAACTGAATGTGTATTGACAATAAAGTGATGGTGTAAGCAGTGATTTTGTCTTTATTCTGCTTTCATTCACTTCAAACAATTGATGGTGTACTGAAAGATGACACTGAGTAGAATTAAATGCAGCTTTGACTTTATTTCCCACCAGAGTGGAAAATTGCCTCTGTCATCAAAATGTACAAAGACATGTAACCTATACAAATATAAAAACAGGACAGGTATAAAGCACAGCACACTAGCGGTAAATAAATATAAAAGATTTCAAATAAAGCATAAAACATAAAATACAGTGGAGTGAGAATTGCAGTTGGAATAAAAGACTCCTGGCACCTATAACAGCACCTACCAGATGTTAGTGTTTCAAACTGAGGAAAGTAGAATCAATAGACTCAATCATACCTTTCTAAACTTTCATTTCTAAGATTTATTGACTCACTCGGAAGCTGCTGAGTCTTGTGTGCATTCCTTGAAACTAGTGTAAAACAGATTTTCAGAGATGCTCAACTGGCGGTCCAGAATTCTACCAAGATGTTTCAAACTTTCAACAGTTTCAGCAAGTTGGTTGTCAAATACCTTTCTGAGAAATCCTGCTTGACACAAATAATATCTTTAGTCTTATCAACATTAATCTCCACCCAACTAACAATTATTTTCTATATAAAATGACTGAAATGTGAAGTAGTATGCCTGGAAACAAAATCACAAAAATTAGTTATTTGCTTGCACTTTAACTTCTTTACACGTAGTCTTGGTAGACAACAGTGTGTCAATGGCTAAGGTGAATGAGACATATTAGCATTTATTTCTGTGTGAAGGGTAAGAATTGTTGCCGCAGCTACATTATGTCACCTTGCCACAACATTGATGATGATAAAAATTGATCAGAGCAAAAAACAAATCTTTGAAATCAGACACACGGATGTCCATGTATCACTTGCAGTATGTGCAGCGATAATTAACAGACATTTCACTCAAACAACAGACTGCGAGCTTACTGAAAGCATCATATGCTATGCCTCAGTGTAAGATTAACAGGATAACACAGCCTACTGAGAAGCAAAGGGGGGCTAACAGCATGCACCTACAGCTCATTGATTGGCAGTTGTTTTGAGAGGCAGGATGGTCTATGACGACCTGGTGGCCTCTGTTTGGTTTATCCCCAAGCTTAGAGGTGGCAGCAACCTCCCTATGGCTTGCACATCTGGAGAGGGGATTAACAGCATCATGGAGGATGTTTTTATCAAAGAGCTCTGGAACCACGCCAGAGATATAGCCATGTGTGTGATTTGTGCATCCATATGTGCGTGTGCGTCTCTGTTTCTCTTTTTTGCCACTGCTTAATGCTGCACCGCATCTCAAGGATTTCTCCCCAACTCGCCACTGACAGCAGCTGCTGCGGCTCCTGTCCAGCTGCCTGCACACTAACAGAGCTGTTCTCTCTCTCTGGCTTCCAGCACTCATAACAGTTTGGAAGTAACAACTCGAGGGGGTTATTAAGTTCTGCTCCTCTGAGTTCATGGATGCACATCTGAGGTCAGCAGGTTTGGCGGATTTGGTTGAGAGCACTGCTGATATGATGGAACTGTAGCTGGACTAATTATTAACACACCTGTTACTCAGGCCATCACGGCCTTCTCCCATGGTGAGGAGGACATTATCTGTGGGTAGTGGGGTGTGTAAGTAAATACGTGTGCGTGTGTGTTAAGAAGATCTCAGAAAATCTCCCAGATAGTTAATTTCCAATCACAACATGCTTGATCTTGTGTCCTGGCAAAACACACAAAAGTGCCTGAACATTCAGTGCAAGTCAAGCAGATTACACTGAACGTGTTTGAAATACTTTCACTGACTTATCTCATGGAAGAAATTATCACTTAATACCATGGCTTTAATCTCTGCAGGGTTACTGTACGTGATGATGAACAGCAGAGTTGATACTTTTCTACCACCATTTACCACCAGATGTCAGATTTCCCCAGCTCTTACATGTAAAACTAGGAGAACCTCAAAGAACAAGCATCATAAATCACATCAAACAGTCCTCTTAATCTTGGAATGTTTATCTGGCCCCAAATCAGGTGAAAAGTAGCTGGCTGAGCAAACATCATTTATCACCTAATACACAATGTATTTTCCCAAAGTATGCGTCATTAAGTTAAGGCTTTTGTGTTATTGATTAACAGTGAGGTCTCTGATGATGGAGCAAGTTAATCTACAAGAGATGAGTTGTTCCTCCTGACAACTACAGATTTGGTGGCGTATTTAAAGATGATTGACTCTTCAGTTTGACACTTTCCTTTCCAGGGGGTCATACACAACACCTGTCTCAGTCAAGGTAGGATATTTTACTGCATATGCCAATGTCAAATATTTAAGATAAGTAACATTTTCACACTAATCCCATGTGTTGAAAGCCACTATCATCAACACTGAAGCTTTCTGTTGTCATTTGAAATGAATAATTTATTCTAAATTTAATTTTTATCTAATGCCATGGGACCTACGACTCATGTATCCTTTAGAAATTGTTGGCGAGTCAGCCATCACTCACGACAAGAGTCACATAATGTTTCAGTAATCCTTTTTGTTTTTCTACTTCCAGTAAAACTCTATTAGTGCAATTTTGGTGAAGCACAAACAGCATAAAAATATACCCTTGAGTCATAGATACTTAAAGGCAAACTCACAAAGAGTACAGAAACAGACAGAAACCGAGAGTGGCAGACCGGCAGACAGATGAGCGTGGGGCAGATAGATTAGAGGCTAACCAAACACACACACATAATAAGTACTTTCAGAGTTTCTTCAGCTGCAATCTATGGAACTTGTCTCAAATGCTCCCACATACAGATAGCTGGATGTACACATGCTAGCCGGGCCTCCCTGCACATCAGAACTTGCAGGAGGATGCCACACAAAAAGAGAGAGATGCAATGACTGTGATTACTGTCATTTTGGCTGCTGTAATTGCTGAACTCACTTCCATCCTCTTTGCTTTTAAGAGACACATTAGTACTCCCTCCTTCACCGGGGTCCCCAAAATACGGCAAAGTGGCTGACGTGAAAAGGGGGAAAAAACAGTCTCTTTAAACTGAGAGAGTGAAAAACCTTTGAAAAGGCGTTGCTGCTCTGTAGACAGTGGAGAGTCCCTTTAAGAGCTGATTTGCAGCTGCAGGAAACGGAGGACAAGACAAGTTCCATTGGTACTGATGTTTCCTTATTGATTCTGACAAGGCATTCATTTGTTGAGAGGCGAAACGATGCCTTCGAGGTGTATTTGGCCTAAGTGTGTGATTTGACAAGGAATTAAGGACAGCTGCCAATTAAAAAGAACGTGGGCCGCCTTTGTTCTCTCCTTATTGCTTGTGTGTTGATCTCAGTAGCATGGTGAGTGATGGGATCACGCACTGTACAGACATGTTGGTCTCCTCTGGCTTCTTTTTACTGCTGCAAGTGGCTGATAAACAACATTCACTCTCACAATAGCGTCATCCTGGGGTTTTAATTACCTCCTTGTCTCCACACAGCATTCAAAGCAGCATGTCATCTCGACCTATAACTATAGTGTCCTCTAGACGGAGCACAGGGCTCGACTACGATGGTAACTTATTCTGTTAAACTCCGAGCATTCTTTTTTATAAGCCTTTGAAATGCGTCAGAACTGATCTTGACCACTGGAGTGTGAATTCTTTTTCTTTGTTGTAGGGTTGAGGATTCACAGCACTCAGCTCTCCTCACAGGCCAAACTCCCGCTGGAGGAGGACAGGGAGTCTGGCATCGGCTCCACACTTGACATCAGCAGCAGCATTGAGGGCAACAACCAACATACCAATCACCACTCCAGTACAACTTCACTCAGGGAGGCAGACAGACTCCCTAAAGAGAAAGGTACAAGAGTGGCACGAAGAGGAGAATCACGCATTCATCTCCAGGGTTGGCAGCAGGTCGGGTCTCTTTGAAATAACAACAGCAGAAGCTGAACCACATGCTCATTAGATAAGAACATGCTCAAAAGACACACAGGGCCAGTGGGATAATGCAGTCTGGGCAGCAAAGGCAAAGCCCTGCTGTCACACTGCAGTATTTGGCTGCATATGGATAATGTAGTACATCAGATGGCTTTGCTCTCTACATGTGAGATTTCTTACTGTGGCTGTCTGTCTCATCCAGAACACAGAAATCACAGAAAGACAGAAAGACATATTTCTGTTATCTGTGATATGTTTTTGTTTTTATTCGTTTTTTTTTTTAAACAGGTCAACTTTGCACTCTAGATTTAGGGCACATTGTGAGGCTAACCATCTTCCTGGTTGTTGTTTTGAACAGATAGCTCTCCACAGGCCACAGCAGTGAGTCCAAACAAAATCAAGCATCTCCTTATAAATCTATCCAAGATCCCTCTCCTCTTCGTCCTCCTCTTCTTCTTTGTTTGCTCCTTGGACACACTGAGCTCTGCCTTCCAGTTAGCAGGGGGTAAGTACCATAACCCCCACTGCTCGTGACTAACACCAGCTGATGTTTGACAAATAAGTGAGTCACCCACTAGGGCCCCGCTGTATAATTAACTGCAAACCTTCATCGGGTGACCTTTTTGGATTTGGGGAAACAAGCAGTTTGAATGTTGTTTAACACGGCTCTTGGCGACCCTGTCATGTTTGAGACCAGTATGTGTGTGTGTGTGTGTGTGTGTGTGTGTGTGTGTGTGTCTCTGTGTGTGTGTGGGCGGCATATTTAACCAGGTAAAGTGGCAGGGGACATTTTCCAGGACAATGCAGTGCTGTCTAACCCTGTGGCAGGGCTGGTGGTGGGGATCTTGGTGACTGTGCTGGTCCAGAGCTCATCCACCTCCACCTCCATCGTTGTTAGTCTGGTGGCCTCTGGACGTGAGTAGGCGTATGAAAATGTGTGTTAATGTGCTCATTTAGTCTGAGATGTGTGTGTGTGTGTGTGTGCTGTATACTCTATATGCCTGTGTATATCTCCAGGCTAGTATTTTGCATGTAAAGATATTAAAGTAAACAGAAAAACAGTAACATACAGTAAATATACAGAAAACTCCCATGGTGCATGTGTGGCAATAACAAATAGATCAAATTTATTTGCGGTTTATGGTTATAATCTCAGTTTTCTGGCTTCTAGCCCAGTCTCATGCTGTATTAAGTATGGAACATACAGAAAATTATTCAACTAGATTTGCTGCTCAGCATTAAGGATCAAATTAGCAAATATCACTTATGGTGAATACATAAATATGAGCAGATAAATGTGTGTTAGGACACAGGAAGATTTTCTCCAGCAGTCAAGTACAAACTTCCAGGTGATGAGCCAAGAAATTTGTTCCTATTTTGTAACATAATTTAAAATAAGGCTGTTGTTATTCTATATTGATCTTGTCACCAAATCCCACTAAAAGAAAAAGACAGTGTTAGTCTGTTTCTCAATATTTTGATACTTCCACACCCTGTCTGTGGTTTTCAGGCCCGTTCATTCTTACTAAACATCTTGTTTTCCAAATACATATTTTCATTCTTAAAAAGGCTTTCTAACTGGAGTTTTTAGCAAACATAGTAAAATGAGTAAAAAGTAATCATTTGTTTTATCACTATTTTTGGCTGTGGATTAATACACATTCAGGGCTCTTGTGAGTATTTCCTGTAGCCAGACGGTATTTGTGGGATTGACTCAAAATATTGTCCTAGAGAAGGGAACATTGGTGATTTAGCTCGTTGATGTGTTATTAATAGTTTTTGGACAACAACACACATAATACATAACATTCCATTAGAGATTTTTGATAATTAGAAAAATATAAAATATCATTGGCATTATCCTTTCTATTGAATTAAAATGGCTAAATGAATAAACTTTCTTATGTGTGATTACCATCTGACTGACTGACCTGAAATTGCCCTTTTGAGATTGTAGTGCTCTGTTGAAAAACATCTGAGCTTATTGTAATCTAGCAGGTTGGACAGAAATCAGAGAGGTAATCAAATCAAACCATTTCACACCCTAATACTGTATCTTAGTCTATATTTTATCGTGCCTATCATTACTGGCGATGTGTTTCTAACGAGGCTTGAGGTCTCTTTTGTCTGTGCGATTACAGTGAATGATATGAAGTGAAGTATGCAGAAGCTGCATCGCTGCTCCTAAATCCTTTCTGTAAGAGCGCTAGGAGAAAGATTATTGGTAATTATCAGAGACAAAAAGAGATGCGGAGGCAGAGTGTCTGTATGAGTGTGTGTGTGCGTGCATGTGTCCTCTAGGTCATCATCATTAGAGGCATCCTGAACAATAAACCCCAGTGCAGAGTGTGAATGCTAAGCTGTCTCCTCTTACCAGCAAATTACAATTACCTTTTATCTCCATTAAAACTCATGTAGCATTCTGAAATGGGGAAGGTCATGTGTAATGAGTTTGTATGTGACACATTACCATTCACAATTATGGCAAACATTTACAATGTTTTTTGTTTAACTATATAGTTTTAAGAGTTGTTGAGATGACTTTAAAGTAAAATGTATCATTGTGTGTTGTCTCACCTCACAGTGCTAGAAGTGAGGTCAGCTGTTCCAGTCATCATGGGGTCCAATATTGGGACTTCAGTAACAAACACCATAGTGGCCATGATGCAGGCAGCACAGAGGACCGAGTTTCAACGGTGAGTGAAGAACGGTGGCGAGGCAGAGGATGAGCGGAGGGGACGCTAAAGATCAGGGAAGAAGAAACTGAAATGGAAAAGTGAAGAGTATAAGTGGGGAGATGGAGAAAACAGGGATAAAAGTGATGAAAGTGCAGGAGAGAAAGCAGAAGAGAAAGCTTTAGCAGCTGTTCACTGCCTCTTTGCTTTTGCCTCTATTTGAGAGTCATTTCTGTAACAGTGACAATAATGGCACCAATTCACATTGATCCCACACCAGTAACCCTTTGGCATGAAAAATACGGCACCGAACAGATGGCATGTTACTTAATCTGTGTCTGGTAAAATAAGCAGAATTCATTAATCTTTCACAATATACTCACACACTGAGTCAAAACTAAAATGCTCATCACATCACACGCATCCAAAAAAGTTGAGCCAGGAAAAGCAGATTAACAAGTAATCATTTAGAGTAGTTGATCATGCTGATGGCTGACCTTAGCAGAAAATAATTGTGACCCACTGCAGTGCCTTTGCCGGGGCAACAATCCACGACTGCTTCAACTGGCTGTCTGTCCTGGTCTTGCTGCCGCTGGAGGTGGCGACTGGCGTCATGACCCGGCTGTCGCACCTGCTCGTTACCAGCTTCCGGCTTCAGCCTGGGGAGGAAGCTCCTGAGCTGCTCAAGGTCATCACCGAGCCAGTCACCAAGCTCTTTATACAGGTAAAACTATTAGCCAATCATAATCTTTGTAGCTGAGTGTTTGCTAAACACCTCCCCCACACAGCTATTGTCCAATCATAGCTTAGCAACCATAACTGGTCACATCAGGTCTGTCAATCTTTGGATTTCTGTAGTAAGAGCTGTGGTGAAATGGTACAATTTTGATGTATTTCACTCAAGTAGTTCCATTTAATGCTACTTTATACTGCTCTCCATTACATTTCAGTGACAAACATTGTACCTTTTTCTCCAATACTTTTATTTGACACTAAAATTTTTTAAGTGCTTACTGAATTACTGTGCTACAAAGTATCTCAAATTGGCTCCACATTGATGAACCACAACATAAAAATATTCTTACACATATTTGTTTGATAAAAACAGAATGATTATATTATATTCAACATAACATTTTTAAATGTTCAGCATACTGAGTACTTTAACTTTTGATACTTTACATTTGGCTGATAATGCTTCTGTTTCATTTACTTAAGTAACATTTTGATTTCAGTAATGGAGTATTAACCTGTATGGAATATCGACTTTTACTTTAGTAAATGATTTGAGTACTTCTTCAACCAGAGTACGAGCTAGTATAGTACTCTGCATTTGTGAGTGTGGAGGGTAGAGCTTTTTCCAAAACCAAAAACACAAGAGTAAAAGTGTAAGGAATGCACTAAACACTATACTTATCTGCTTAAATGTAAGCTATAATCATGAACATGCCTGGCTAACTAGCTTTTTTTTTTTTTTTTTTTAAACCTGTCCTGCCCAGCAGCCTGGTATAGAGTATAATGACCTGGATACCATATTGTGCCAGACAGATTTTACTTTAACAAGAGAGTATTAAAATACTCCTTTGTCTGTTTTATTATTTATTTAATTATGTATTGATTTGTCACCGGGCCGGACAGGGGGGCAGACACGGGGATGGGGGGGCACAAACAGACAGCACAGAGAAAGGACAACACCTGCAAGAGAAGGGGGAAAGGGGGATGGAGGGTGGGGACAACAGGGAAAAGCTGTGGGAAACACCAATTGCAGAAAGCAACGAAACCTGCAAGAGAACAGAGAGGGGGGCTTGGGGAGGAGAAAAACAACAACAAACAAACACAAACAAAAAAAACAATAAAAATAATAATAATAGTAAAAGAAAACCAGCCGAACAGCAGCAATAAACAGCTGACATATTAATGACATATTAAGACAACTAAGAGAACAATGAAAACAAGAAACAGTCACACACACTAAATAAGCAACACAACACAGCCACGAGAGCTGGAATAATAATTAATTTAAATAAGTAACTGAAAGAAAGGCATCAGGAATAATTCTACCAGGGACAACCTAAGTTTGTTTGTGTCTGTGTGGGTGAATGTGTCTGTATGTGTGTGTATGTACATGTGTGTGCGCATAAGCCTGTTAAAGAATGTAGTTGTTAGAGAGAGTGGGACGCCACGACTGTAACAGGCAGGCAAGAACCCCAGTAGCCAATAGGGGTGGAAGAAAGAAAAAGAATAAATCAAATCAAAAAAAAACAAAGACTCCCAGATGCACCGCGATGCAAACGCAGAAGACCCCGACCCAAATGCCAGTTGACAACGTAATGCCGACGGAACGCAAAAGAGGAAGAGCAGCGCCCGGACCGACCGCGGCGCAGACACAACATAGACCAGTGGCCTCCCCCATCCAGCACCCCACCGCCGCGCAGCAAACAACCACAATGCCCAAATGCCACGCAATCATCAACACCAATGCACAAGTGACGAGCCCAACGCGCACACTGCGCGAGCACGGCGACACCCATGCCCAGCAGCCCCCCGCGAATCCCGCGTGCGAGGTCGGGCAAATGAGAGAGAGCAAACGGAACAACACGACAGCGAAAGCCAGCGGAGAGAGACACCAGCAGCAAGTCCCAGCCCGGCAGCAAACGCGCCGCACAGGTCACCGTGCACCCGCCAATAAAAGTCCACCGTCCCCCCAACCGCCGGAAAAAACTAAGGCCGCCGGCGCCAGCCGACATCCCCCATGCCCAGCGCGCCCCCCGGCCGCCATGCAACACCAGCCAAACCAGCAACGAGGCAAAATCAACTAGCTCAGCTGCATGCCACCAACAACCCACCCATCCATCAAGGGCCGAGAACTCCAGGCACAAACCCAGAACAAACCGGAGCACAGCCCTGCCCCGCACCCACACTGCACATCCCGAAAACTAACTATATACCTCAGTATCCAGAGGGGTCCAACAACTGGCCGACAGAGAAATGGGCAAGCACGGATCCGAGGCCAACGAAGCAAAACAGGAACGCAAACAGGTCCCTCCAAGCCAATGAGGAGATGCCTCCCCCGGACTCCAACGCACAAACTAAACGCCCAGCAGCCATCCAGAGACCCTGCCCAGGGAAAAAGTATAATACATCAAGATGCATCGATAATCGCCCCACAATCCCACCGCAGACCCCCACCCCCAGAAGCCAGGACACCCTGCGACCCCCCAAAGCGCAAAGGACCCCAGACCGCATGTCCAGGGGGAAGCTGTACCCCGCCCCAAGGAAGAACAGCAGAAAGCCGTGCCGGGAAGCTCGCTACCGCCAGGGAGCGATAACGCGGGAGAACCAGGCCAACGGTCCCCCAGCCCAGCCAGAGGCATCCCTCCCTACAGTGCAGCCAGTGACAGCAGCCCCCGAGGCCGATCTCATCCCCGGACAGGGGCCCAGCCCCCCCAGTCAAGCACCCCCAAGGAGGAGCACCAAAACCTACCCCGACAGCACCGGTCATGCGCCCCAGAGACTCCCGAATGTCCCCACCGTGAGAGAGCTGGCAGGGGGAAGCAGCGGGAGCCTCACCTCTGCCGAAGAGGGCCCAGGCGAGGAGAGGAGACAACGGGCCCCCAGGCCCAGGGACACACCACCCGCCCAGAAATGAGCAAAGGCCACAAGCCCGAGTCCGCAGAACCCTAGGCCAAGGGCGGGCCCCCACGCCAGGGGAGCCCCGACCCCCCCCAGCCCACCCCAGATCAGGCAAGGCCGCCACCAACCCCACAGCACCCCCAACGCCCGGGGCTCCAGGGGTAGGACACGAGGCCAATGAGAATCTCTCCCACTCCTTCAACCCCTCTGCCTGCCTCTGTAAATGTATTGTTTTGTGTTGGATGCATGTCATGGATTGTGAAGTGTTGTATGGTGGAGTGAAGATAAGGTGTGTGGTAACTAAGGTGCAACTAAAATTGGAGGGTAGTTGTGACACAGGCACCCCACAACTGTCAGGTAGTGGAGCCTCCCATCGTGCCCCTCCCACCCCCCAAGCCCTCTGTGTCTAATGTGTAATTAAAATTGAGGGGCAGGCAGTGAGGGAGGAAGAAGTGCGAGGCCGCAATAAAGCAGCCCCAAACGCCCTGCAGGCTGCCCGTCCCCCAGGATCCTAAGGGTGTATGTTGTGAGACATGACCAAAGGGGGAAAGGTGAAGGAGGTCATAGGGAGGCTAGAAGACCAGATTCCTGACTGGCCCCATCATTTATTCAGTCCCGTCCCCCACCCCCCTAAGCAGGAGGACGCCAGGTCCCTCCAGCCCAGGGCTTATAGCAAGAGCCCCTCTAGCACCGGTAGCACCCCAGAGTCAGTGACAACCCCGCCCATCCCCAGGACGGGCCCAGGGGGGCCCAGCCCCCCAGCGCGCAGACCCGCCCCAGACCCAGAGGCCCAAAGCCCCGTGCCCCAGACCCCCACACACTCCAGAGGCAGGTCAGTGCAGCCCCAACCCAAAGTCCAACAATCCCCCGTCCTCGCCGGGGCCCCTCCGGCAGCCCCACTGCTAACCCCTCACCTCACCGCTCCCCCACAATCAGCAGTACTCCGAGCACCACCAGCCCCCAAGGGAGCAGGTCCGGGGCAGCAAGGACCCCACCCAAGGACAGAACGGCCCAACAGCCCAGATCCGAAGGTCGGCCCACACCCAGGAGGCAATGCCACTCAGGCCAGGTCAGGCCAGAAGACCCCCACCCCCGCTCCCTTCCCTCCCTAGCAGCGAAGCATCCCACACACAAACCCCCACCGTCCCCAAAGAAAAGAGACAGCAATCACCCCGCGACAGCAGCAACAGCCCCTCAGCCCTAGGGAGTCAGCAGATGCAAATAGCCCCTAGGACTCAACACGACCACACTCCAGAGGGCCGCGACGCGACTGCAAGCAACCATCGACACACCCCAAAGCACAATCCCTCCATACACAGGATCCCGGCACAACCACCAAGCATCCAGTCCGGGCACTAAAATCCAGAGGAGACACCCCCCAACCAGCTCAAAAAGGACCAGCCCGCACCCCAACCCACCCCGTCAACCCCTTCTTCCCGGTCCCCCACCCCTCCAACAACCAGTCGCCAGACCCCTCAGAGAACCGAAATGCAATTATCAGGATGCACAGCATGCACACAGGACAGAGCCGCACACCAGCCCAGTCCCGGCCCGCACCCGATGCCCCCAACCCCTGACAAGCACGCAAGCCAATAATGACCTACAGATGAGCCAAGCTCTTGGGGAACTGTATAAGATTTTAATCCAATCTATGAAAGAGTTTCCAAATCCAAATTTATATAAAGTAGCGAATAGAAATTTCCAATTTACTCTGTCAAATGCTTTCTCTGCATCTAAAGAAACAACTATAGTTTCCAGGTTATGAATAGTGGCATAGTCTATTACGTTAAGTAGCCTGCGTGTATTGTTGGTGGAGTGCCTACCCTTAATAAATCCTGTTTGGTCAGAGTGTATTATACCAGGAGTGACCTTCTCTAGCCTTCTTGCTAGGGTTTTGCAGATGATTTTAAGATCTGCGTTAATAAGTGATATTGGGCGATAACTGGACGGGAGTGTGGGGTCTTTGTCTGGTTTAAGGAGCAGGCTGATATTAGCAGAATTCATTGTTGGGGCAACATGCAAGTACCCCTAATTTGCATAACCATCCTATAGAATGTGGGCGCAAGTATTTCCCAGAATTCCTTATAGAGTTCAGCGGGAAAACCATCTGGCCCAGGGGCTTTATTATTCGGCATATGTAAGAGAGCTTCCTGGAGTTCAGCCATTGAAACAGGTGAATCCAGAGCCCTGATCTGTTCATCATCTAACCTTGGCAAATCTATATTGTTCAGAAATGCATCGATGTTAGAGCTAGATGGGTCAATTTGTGATGTATATAAGTTTTTATAATAATCTCTGAATGCATTGTTGATTTCTTCTGGGTTATAAGTCAGATTCCCAGCTGAGTCCTTTAAGGAAGAAATAGTTATTTTTCTTTATTCAATTTCAATTGGCTGGCTAAGAATCTGCCGGATCTATTGCCATGTTCAAAGTTCTCCAAGCGTAGTCTTTGCAACTGAAATTGGGTCTTTTTATTAATAATTTCATTTAATTCAAGTTTTGATTTTCTCAGATCATTCAGCATGTGTTCCTGTGGGGAGGCAGCAAGGGTAGTTTCTAATGTTTTTATTTTTTGTTCTAGCTGTAATTCACAAGATCTCTCTTTCTTTTTTTGTATGATGAATAGGAGATTATTTTACCTCTCATGACTGCTTTTGCTGCCTCCCAAAGAAGACATGGCGAGGTTCCTGGCAGGTCATTAGTTTCCATATATATTGCCCACTCCTTTTTGAAGTAATTTATAAAATCTAGGTCTGTAAGCAATGATGCGTTAAATCTCCAACTTCTAGTTGGCTGTGTGACCCTTTTTTTAGTAAGAGTGATAGAAACCGGTGCATGATCACTGATAGTGATAGGGTGAATCTGAGTGTTGGAAATGTCTGTCATAATTGAGCTGCTAACCAAAAAATAGTCAAGGCGAGAAAATGAGTGGTGGATTGGTGAAAAGAAGGTATATTCTCTAAGAGTGGGGTGGTGAGAACGCCAAACATCACAAAGACCAAAATCGCTCATGTATTGTTTAAGGATGTCTGTTGATTTCCAAATACGGTGACCACCTGCCGTACTGAGCCTGTCAACTGCTGGATTACATACCATGTTGAAGTCCCCTCCTAATATAAGAGCTGTGTCTGAGTGAGCAGAGAGAGAGTTGAAGAAAGCATGAAAAAAGGAGGGGTCGTCAACATTTGGGCCATAGATGTTAGCAATGCATAAAGGAGTATTTTGAATCGAAATGTTAACAATAATGAATCGACCCTCTGGATCAATAGTAGTGTTATTATGATTGAAGTGTGTTTTTCTATTTATCATAATGGTGACACCCCTTTGTTTTGAGTTATAACAGGCTGAGTACGAGTGAGGAAACTGTGGTGAGGTTAGCTTATCTGCTGTCTTGGGTAAATGAGTCTCCTGTAGTAGGACAATGTCTGCTTGCAGATTATTTAGATGGTTAAAAATTTTTAATCTCTTTTCCCTTGAACCAACTCCGCGTACATTCCAAGAGGTGATTATAAGTGAGGTCATCATTCAACTAAGGGATGTGGTGATGGCTAGTGTGTGCAGTGTGCGCGTTGTATCATTGTGTGTGTTGTATGCGCCTGTATGTGTGTGTCTATGTGTTCATGTTGTATGCGCCTGCGTGTGTGTGCTAGCGGTGTGCCCGACTGTTTGTGAATTAAACAGTATGAAAATTGCGCAGCTGATCGATGTGTAAACGGCGGAGGAAGAGCAACATTAACAAAAGAAAGAAACAGTGAAACAAAAACAGGGGAAAATACACAAAACATTATCGGACAGTCAGATAACCACAGTATAGGCTGTTGAGACGTGCACTGTATTTTATAACTATTAACTTGCCATATGTCACGGAGTAATTAACTGATAGGGGAAAAAATGATCGCATACTGATACAGTTCACCTGTTGCTGGACTTGGTTCTTAGTAGAGCCAAGGAGTGGTGTCTCGGTCGCGGTACAGCTGGCCATCGACGTAAAGTTTATCCACAGCGATGACAGCCCGTGATCCTTCTCCAATAAGCTTCTTTCTTATCGGGAACAGGACTCGGCGTCGGTCCAGGATCTCCCGGGGAAACTGGTCGTTAACGCTGAAGTTGGTCCCTCTCAGCTCCCTGCCGCGGCCTTTAACCAGTTCCTTCTGCTTGAAGTGTTCAAACTTCGCGACGATGGGCCTGGGCCTCTGGTTCTCCTGTCGCCGTCCTCCCAGGCGGTGCACCCGGTGGAAGCTGATGTTCTTTACGGTCTCGGCCGGGAGCTTCAGTTGATTTTGGATGAAGCTTTTAACGGTCTCCTCTGGGGTTTCATCCGCCTGCTCCGGGATACCCGAAATGACCAGATTATCCCGCATACTACGAGCCTGGAGATCGATGATTGCTTCTCTAATGTTTTTATTGTCTGCCGAGAGCCGCGTCATTCCCTCCGTGAGGGATTTAACCGAACCTTTGAGGACCTTGTTTTCTGCCGCGAGCTCAACCACCTGTTTCTGGCTGAACTCCAGGGATTCCCGCAGAGCCTGAAACTCTTTGTGAAGTACTTCCACAAGAGATAATCGGGCATCAAAGCTGGACAATTTCTTGTCTATTGAATCCAGAATCTCTGTAAAATCTGCACCTTGCGAGGAGACTGCTCCAGGTGATGCTCCAGGTGAGTCTTCAGTGCGGTTTCTTTTTGATTTCCCCATGACCACTCGATGAAAACACTGGTCAATATAAACTTCAAGGTCCTCCAAACACTCGTCCTCGAGGTCCTCCAGTGCGATTTGACTGCTCTTATTTGTTAATTCGCTTAAAATTGGCGGATTGTTTGTTTAATGAATTGTTTGTTTAGCTGCGCTCTGCCATGTTTGAATTGCACCAAGTCTCACGAGATTACACAAACGCTCACCGTGTCATCTCCTAGATGGCTAACTAGCTTACCTACAGTAGTAACTGTTTGTGACTTTGCAGGCCAATGAGCAAATTATTATGGTTACATTAGTTTGTGGGTTACAGGTTACATTATGAAAAGCCTAGCACACCCACTGTGTGGAAGCTTTATCCAAGTTTATCAAACACTTTGATTACTCATCTCACTAAAAGCCTATACAGTTATAACGCATAACCTATAATGCTCTGCCTATCTAGCTTTACACTTCAATGCAAGAACAATGCTGTTTCTCTAATTCTATGTCTTTTAACTTCAACGGATCATCAACTCGTGAGGATACGTTTTGTCCATCAATTTCATATTTAAGAATCAAAGTTTTTCATTTTAAAACAAGTCAGACAGAAACATAAAAAAGCCAGAAGGAGATGGTGTTTTCAACCATCTCATGTAGACAACATTAGCTTAATTAACATGGTAAATCTATCGCTGGTACTGTTATAAATTGGTGCATAGGTGCCATGCAACAATGGATTACAATGGAAGGTTAGACAGGGATAGCAACAGTAAGTGGGACAAAGCTTATCAAACAGTCAGATAGCTTCCCTTAGTGTCTTGCTCAGAGACACTTCAGCAAGGCACTTGCTGTGAAGTGACTTGAACTTAGGTTTAATAACTCAACCTTGACTCACTGAATGATTTCTCCTTTCACCCTCAGCTGGACAAGTGTGTGATCACGGGGATCGCCATGGGAAATGAGGACATGAGGAACAGGAGCCTGGTGAAAGAATGGTGCCAGGCTGACCTTGTTATGGTAATGGCTCATCTCCACTGCTGTCTCCTGCACATGCAGACAATTGTGTCACGCACTGGCGCCAAATAGAGCCCGTCACTGCTGCCAGGGAAAACTGTGTTGCTAATTTATCTTTCATCACAGTCGCTTCTTTCATCCTTCTTTCTATAGACGACTGGCAATGTGAGCACTGAAAACTGTGGCCCCAGTCCGAACATGTCCCACACGCCACTGAAGTGTGAGTTCAAACTCAGTCATATCTGTAACCCGCCCACTTTTGTGAAATGTACAATGTTTCTGTAATCATTTTGTATTTCTAGAATGTATTTTCTTTTCAGTGCTGGTCCTGTTAAAAATGAAATGAAACTAAGTGTTTCTGGGATTGAATACTGAGGATAGTTGGTCCTGTCACTCCGCAGGCAGGCATTTGTTTGTGTCTACCGAGCTGTCAGACCTCAGTGTGGGCCTGATTCTCCTGGCAGGCTCCCTGGCTGTCCTCTGCACCTGTCTGCTGCTTCTGGTCAAGCTGCTCAACTCTCTTCTTAAAGGCCAAGTAGCAAAGGTCATCCATAAAGTTATCAACACAGGTGGGCATGCTTCTGAGCTTTTACATAGCGTATAGAAATAGAGTTTGCAATTAACCAAGAAAACCTTTTTAAGCTGCTTTGGATGCAAATTTCACAAACGAGGTTGTGTAGAAGATACTAGTATTGATGTTTATTTGCATATACATGTAGATAATTTCCATCTCACCTCTCTTTATTTTAACAGACCTGCCATATCCGTTTGGATGGCTGGCAGGATTTATGGCCTTGTTTTTGGGTGCAGGGATAACATTTCTGGTCCAAAGTAGCTCTGTCTTTACTTCAGCCATGACTCCCCTTGTAGGTGAGTGATATATATGCTTTTGCACCTGTGAAAACTATGAGAGCCTCTAGTGGGGATATTATAGGCTACACTACATTCTGTGAAAATAAAGTTAAACAAATTTAGAAGATAAAATGGTAATGTGATAACTACTGTAAGTAAACAGGACATCAGCACCTCATGAAAAATCCATGTGCACAAAAGACATTTGTCACAGACATGCATTAAAAATAACAGGAATACGTAACCTTAGAGAATGGGAGGAAAAGGTCTGCAAACAGACCTGTTTGTTATTTACTGTTATTAAAACCTCATATATTTTTTGCATTAAATTTTCACTGAAAAAAACAAATTAAATAAAAATGATGATGATCTGATTTTTGCTGGGGTCTGTACAAGCATGTTTCCTTACGTCTGGAGAAAATTATTTTTAGGTCGGGGTCCCTGTTGCACCACAGTGCTTCCTTTATGATGAATGGTATGTTGTGATACATTTTACCTTTATCAAAAAATTGCAGCTCCTGCGATTAGGCCATATTGCAAATTCGATAATATAATATGTTGTTCAGCCCTAATATCAAACATGATGATATTCACCAACACAATACTTTCAACAAATGTTATGTAACACCAACATCTAGTATTAAGTAAAAGCACAACAACTGAGGATAAACTACATAGTTTAAAATCCAGTGGAAACATGCAGAATGAGTTTATTGTGGTTAACTGTTTCTAGCAGCCTTTTTGACAAGAGATATGGAGCAAAGTCTCTTGTGAAGTCACTTCAGCACATGGGGAAGTTCTTAACAGATTAAAATAAAACTAAAACTAAAACCTGATATGGCAGGGAAGCCAGTTAGCTAATCACGGCCCTTTGCTGCCTGTCGCTCCCTCTTTCTAGCCCAAATTTCCTGTCTCTCTCTCCACTGTCCTGTCACAAAATAAAATAAACTGGCAAATTTATCAAAAATATAGCTGCTGGAAAGAAAGAAATGATCTTTGTTAGATACCTCTAACTGCCAATGAGACAAGTAATCATCAGTGACTTGTCTTCTGCAATAAATTGTTGCTGCTGCAGTTTTGTACCGTCAATTTGGGTTAGTGTTCAAATTAAATTTACCTAAAGTACTTTAGTGTTGCCTTAGTATGTGAGCCAATTCACCAACTGGCATACAGTGTGCACACAGCATAAGCAGAAGAAATGCCGCTCGGCTTTGTTTTACTCTCCTGGATGTGTATCACCTAGCCCAGTGACCAGGAATCTGACAGACAGCATATTTTAACACAGTAAAATAATACTTGTGTGACTATAACCAGCGTGACGTCTTATGGAGGAGATGACTCTGTAGATGATTGGATGAAGCATAACATCAACAAAGTGACAAAGCAGATTTAATTCATCGTATGGCAAACCAGTGAGATTGGATTGTTCACATTCATAGCTTCTGAAAGTAGTTTACTGTCCAGATGCCCCCCGCCCACCCTGAGACAGCTACTTGTTTTAACAACCTGCCTTTACTTTATAACACCACACCCACTTCTCCACTGTCCAACTTTACTTTGCTACTTGGTTTGGTTGGTTTTCTCCAGTTTGTTTCGTATGATCTCGGAGAAAGGTTTATGTCATGTATTTAATGGCTAATTAAGATTTGTGTGTTCTCATTCTAGTGAGAATACCTCAGATTTTCTTGTTGGCTAATAGCTCATTTGCCAGCTAGATGCATGGGGCCAAATAAGGACATAAACCTGCTCATTTCCACAGATCAAGTCTTGTGAAGTTTATAAGAACATGTTTCATAACCGGCACTGTATACCACTGGCTAAATGAAGCATGTAAAATCAGTGATGACTGAGTCATCAGCCTGCAACACAGTGATAAATGCGAGATGGGAATAATTTCTCATTTTAAACAGGAGTAATTAACCAGCTTGAAAAAGAAGCTAAAAGACAAGCGACTATACACATGGTGGATGATTTCCGAACCACAGATATGCTTAATTAAGTGTTTCTATTTATTTTACTTGCTGTTACTGTGTCATAGAGTCGAGCAGAGCAAAGCTTTAACATCCACAAGGAGAAATTTGGCTTGCAAACAGCAGTCAGTTGTAGTAGATGTTAAATGCAGCAATCCATACAGTACATACATAGTGCAAGTACATACAAGTATAATATAGTATCATCAAATTGAAAACAAATGAAAAAATAACAGATAGAGAGCAACTATTTCACACAATTTCAACAATATTAACTACATAAAAACTAGAGCAGCATTGCCCTACTTTGGTTGTCAGTTGCTGTCAAGCAGCCACTCATTTGTCATTAGTCATCTTATCTGGCAAAGGCATATTTCAGCCTCTATGATTCCACTGTTGCTTTTTCAAATATTTGGCTTTTGTTCATCATAAACACCAAGTATGAATTATTTTATGTTTTTTCTGTTTATCTGAGATGTAATTTGAGTCGAATAATTTGAATAGTTTAAATACTTATTTTTAAACCTTTTGGAGAATAGTATTCACAACTCTTAAGAACATTCATTTTTCTGCTGTGCTTGTATGCTGCTTCTAATCCTTGTGAAAGCAGTGATTTAAGATCACATCAGCTGCTCAGAAATGGAATCCCAATCACAGATGTCCACATTTTACACGACAGATCAGTGTAGTTTGATTAGACAAATGTACCTATCAAGTATTTTATAAAAGTTACAGTTCATCATCGCTGAAACTTGCCTCTGTTGTATCTTTATCTCTGTTTTCGGTGTTGTCTCTCTCAGGTATTGGTGTGATCAGTCTGGAGCGGGCCTATCCTCTCACCCTTGGGTCCAACATCGGCACAACTGCCACAGCCCTGCTGGCAGCTCTGGCCAGTCCCGGGAACAAGCTACCAGCAGCCATACAAGTAAGCCAGTGTTATCAGATATGACAGCCAATTTAAAATAGAAGGAAAATGAGACGAAGGAAAGTGAAGGCAATGCCACCCTTCTCTTTTGTGGCGGATTACATTTACCTTTATTCATTTAGCTGACGCTTTTATCCAAAGCGACTTACAACTGCTATACATGTCAGAGGTCGCACGCCTCTGGAGCAACGAGGGGTTAAGTGTCTTGCTCAGGGACACAATGGTGGATGTCTCACAGTGGGAATCGAATCCAGGTCTCCCACACCAAAGGCAAGCATCTTATCTATGCGCCATCACCGCCCCCACCTGTGCCATCACCACCCCCATTATTATAATAACAATATAGGTCATTTGTGCAGCATGTTATTTACGATTATTGCGGCAGCGACCTCTAGAGGTCGTACAACGGTAGGAAAAGAGGAAGTCAGGTTACGTGTCTGTATAAGGAGGCAGGATGGGTCAAACCCTGGACTTTCACTCAGGAGAACGGAATTCGAGTCCCATGTGACAACTAGTAAATGTTGAGTTATTTTAAGTTTTAACTGAAATAGCGTTACTGACTTCCATCACGTGACTTCTGTTATTGACTTTGGTCATATTACTTACGTAATTTACTTACTTTAACCGAAACCACAACGTTTTTCTGAACCTAACCAGGTAGTTTTTGTTGCCTAAACAACATTAACTACGTGTTTGATGTCGTTTGACGTAGGTCACGTGACTTACATAATGTAGTTAATGCTAATGTGCTATTTTGTGAGGGATGAACAAATGTCACTGGTAGGTGTGATAATTTAGGAAAAGCTCATATGTGTCATTTTGTGAGGCATGGATAAACAACCTATGTTGTCGTTTAGGATGGAGGACTTATTATTTTTTTGTATGCTACAGCTCTCTGTAAATCACTTGCCCTGGAAAAAACATAAACCAAAAGGGAGAAATTTATATTAAACTTTTTTAATGCCGACCATAAGTTTTGCATCTTTCGATCGAATACCATTCCATTATCCGTCTACATAGATGAAGACCTGATTTCAAAACAGTCAATAAAATCTTGCATAAAGCTGTAACATCAACAGACATTCACTTGGGGAAGTGCACTGCTAACTTCAATTTGTAGGCTAGATAGAAGTTCAGCTGCAGCACGTTAAACAGCATGTAAACAGCATGTCACTTCCATCCAGTTAGATTATTAGTAAATCTGGCCTTGTAACTTTTTATCTCTCTTTGTATATAGATTGCTCTGTGTCACCTCTTCTTCAACGTCTTTGGCATTCTGCTGTGGTATCCCCTTCCCTTCATGCGTCTGCCGATAAGGATGGCTCGTGTCCTGGGTGAGCGCACTGCCAAGTACCGCTGGTTTGCAGTCTTGTACCTTCTCCTTTGCTTCTTGCTCCTGCCCTCGCTGGTGCTGGGCCTCTCGCTGGCAGGCTGGCGGGTGATGGCTGGCGTCGGGGGTCCTTTTCTGGGTGTGACCATCTTCATCGCCATGGTAAATGTGATGCAGGCCCGCAGCCCCGGTCACCTGCCCGCTAAGCTCCAGACTTGGGACTTCTTGCCCCAGTGGATGCACTCTCTCAAACCGCTCGACCGCTTAATCACCAAGGCAACTGTCTGCTGCAGCTTCACATGCGAGGAAGGGCAGGGAGAAGAAGAGGAGCACATCTCGACACAGACCACCTCTATCGACCTGAGGAAAGAGTCCGCCCAGAGGAAGGCAGAGCTGGCTTATGACAACCCAGTCCTGGATTACCTGGATGAGAGCAGACCAGGTGTACGGGTTCTTAAATTAAAAGGATTAGAGAGGTGTAACAGCACTCCACTGTAGTCAAACAGATAACAGAGGGCTATTTTCTACTCCATTTTGTCAATATTGTGGGAAGAATAAAATTGATAAAACCATTCTATAATGCTTTGGAAATTAACAGATTTCTCATTATTGATTGATTGATAATTAGAGAGAGACTCCCAAATGCCAGGATAAATATCATGAGCTCAGTACAAGATTTTAACCACCAATACATCAAGTGAGAATTGACTGAGCTCTGCAGCTGGTACCAGACCAGCTGCAACAGCCATCTATAAGCTGTTATTCCCATGCTTGAGTCTCAAAACTCATGATGAAGAAGGGGGAAAAAGTCACCTCAAGGTCCATTAAGTAGCTGTTCTGGATCTTTCTCTCATATTATATGATCTTCATTAGCAGATAGAGTTTTTCAATTGTCAAAGGTACATTACCTTAACCGTTCACATTACCATTTTTATTTTTATTACCATATTTTTATTACTTTCGTCTGACTGGGCAGACAGGTAACACATGAACAGCTCATAGAATTAAAAATGTCTTTGTAAATGCATTAAATGTGCCCTGTGGAGTTTTTCACCACTTGTAGCACTGTGGAGTGGTGTAGTAATTCCTATCCTGCCTTTGGTTTTATGCTATTCCTTTGATTGACAGTAGGTGGCCGTAACACAAAAACAAATGTAGCAATGCACCAACAACGGCAGTGAAAAAGAAAACGTCAAACTAGATTTAAAATCTGAAAAAATGGTATTTGCGAGGAAGGAGATGCGCTCAACACATTTAGGTAACACATAAAGATAATACACAATGCATTTTGGTGAAAAACATAACTTTTTCTTATTAGTGTACAAGGAAACTCCACAGGGTAGTTTTAATTAGCCAACAATAACTCTTGTACCCACTGTCATCATCATTTTGAGGAAATTTGAAAATATTTCCAGAATAGCTACCATGCTCTCCCGTTTGACGTCCCTCGCAAAGGCAATAGCGACATTTAGTCATGCATATAAATGGTTTATGTTGAGTGAGTATAAAACTTATCCTTGTTAGCGCTTACATTTCCCTGGATTCAGCAGTCCTGGGTGCAACGTTCATCCATTAAGTGTTGTCTGTTTGTGTCAAGAACAGACAGGAAGAAAAGGAAACGAGCACTGTAGCCCAAAGTCTAATGATAGTCATTTCCAAGTGGATACGTTTGATAATTATGTTAAAATACCATGCACTCACTTGTTATATAAATGTAAGTGGGTGACTGACTATACGCAGACACTACAAAGGATTAAAAGAATCATCACACAAGCCTCTTAATGTTATCTACAAATGGGTGTATGGATGTGTTGTAGCGTATGTGTTTGAGTGTGTGCTGAAGTGTTTGTGTGTGTACGCTTGTCCAAGTGGGAGACTATGCACGCCCGGGAGGTGTTGTTGAATGTGTGAATATGTGCTGTGTTTTCTCTATTGCACTATAACAATTGATCATGTGTTGTAAGAAATGTTGACTTTCTGAAGTCTGTTGATTTAATGAGAGAATAAAGTCAGACTCTTTCACTTGTAAGGTGATAAACGTACTCTCTTTGTCTCTGCTGGTAAAATTACAGCTCGGTGTTCATTCATTCTTGTGTGTTTTACTTGAACAAGCCTTTTGGTAGGAAGACATATCCTCCTTGTCCTCTCGTCACTCCCCTCTGCTCCTGCCATGGACTTTAATGTTCTTTAACGTATGAGATGCAACCATCTCCACCACCAGCAATGGCAGTCTGGACAGTTTCTGCGTCATCCTCCTGAGTCTAATGTGAACCTCGGAGGCATATGAGAGCAGTCTGGGAAGGACGGGGGAGGGGAGGAACAAGAATCTACCATGACACTTGCTCCTCAATACACTCACAGAAACATGTCCATTCTCTCCTTTGAGTGAGTGCTGATTATCTGCTGTGTGGTTTTTGAACAGAGAGAACTGCTTTTGGATCAGTGCTAAAGTCCAGCAGGGCAGGGTAATGGTCCTGCCAAGCCCTCATGTCCCGGGATTCACAGCAAGGACCTGTTGCTGCCAGGGTTCTCTGCTGCCTGTCTTTGTTGAGCTATTGTTATCAGATAAAAAGTAGCACATTTTATTTCAACAATGACCTTTTTTCTTCACTTCTCTAAAAACTAGAAAGATTTTTTTTCCTTGACTGTTTTAATTTTTTGTCCTGTGATTGTTGTGATCCGCATGGTATCTGTTACTTCCTAACCTGCGCTCACTCACACTCATTTACTGTAGATCCGTCTCCAGGCGGTGTGAATTATTCAGTATGTGTGTGTATGTGCGTTTGTGTGTGTTTACAGAACACAGGAGAAAATCCTGGACTCCCTTCAGAGACTAAAATAATTTCTTTCTGCCATTTAAGCACTTGCCTCATGTAGAGCAGAAGTTATACCACATTCTTCAATTTCACAAATCCTTTCAACCGTCTAGTACTTTGAAAACATTTTGCTTCACTACACCTTCACCTGTAGTGCTGGATCAGCACTTGTAATGCTGGTCCCGCAATAACCTATCGACAGCTATTGAATTTTTTGCTGGGTTAGTTGTTGTCGAGTATTTCTCAAAGGGATTACAATACAGTCAATCAAAATGATGATCCAGAGACATCATTACTGAGAGTGTTAAAACATGGTTGCCTGTCTGCTACTACTAAAATAGAAATGTGCAATATTGTCCAGAAATGAAACATACTAACAGTGTGTGGAGAGTTTCCCATTTGGGCAGCCATTTTCACATTTAATAACGTTAGACATTAGATTATTGTATATCTAACAGCACTTAATGATTAACAATAATGGCCAAGCCAAGCAAACTATCAGTCACGAAGCAAATGAAGCCATGTTGCTTGCTGAACCCACAATCACACTGCGTATATGAAGGATTAAGATAGTTAAAGAAAATAATTGGTTAATAATTAGTTTTCGGTTCCATGTATCCCTCCTTTCTAAAGGTATTCAAATGCAGAACTAATTTCAATTTACTTAGGCATGACATATGTAGCCAGGCCTAAAGTATAATAAAATGAATGCAAATTAATATTTACTAAGCCAGATGTGAGATGACTTTGATGCACACATTTGCACTCATTAAGAGGAGCAGATTCATGCAGGTTCCACAAACAAGCTGCGATGTTGAAAAAAAAAATGAAAATCACTCATGGATAGTTTTGCTAAAGCTAGTAGGACAAGGCGAGTTACCTATTCATAATTTCTAAAATGTTAAACACTGAACTGAAAATGATCCATAATTATTCAGCCTCTTATGTGAAAGCAAACTGTTTTTCCGTGGCCGGTGGCTGTTGTTAAGTCAGCACTCTGTGGGCCTGTTGGGACTACATGTTTACCCAAATCTGCAGAAGGTGCTGCACTCATACTTCAGTGTGCACGTCTTATCCAAATGTGCTCTTAGTTTACTTCACATCTTTTCCCTGAGTCCAGTTAGCCACTAGTAACAGGATCAGACCTCGATGGCCATGGCAGAGCAAGGCAAAATGTGTTAAAGTATGGCGAAGAGTAATATCTAAAACTCCTTTGCGCTTTAAGGGGAGGCATTAGAAGAGGTGTGTCAGCAACAGCTTGTATGGTAGGTTGTCAAACAGTAATAGAGGTGAAGACTCAAGTATTTGTCATTGTAACAACAACAGCTGGGAATAATGTTAATTGTTAGAAGTTCAGAATTTAAATCAAGCACACGCACAGGGGCCTAATTAATTGGTGGCAGAATGTATGCAACTGCTTTTCAGAAAATTTATCTATATTATCCAGAGAAGACAGTTTTTCTGAGTTTTTAGTTCTCCTCCTTATCTGTGCTGCACTCATATAATTACCTCCTTAGCAACACAAACACATTCATATTGAATGAACATATTGAATTCAGCTGAAATAGAGGAGAAGGACGGAAAGAGACAGAGAGAGAGAGTCAATACAGATGGAGCTTTTGGGGCAAAACAAGCTCTCTTCCTGCAGGGCAAGGTGGGTGGTTGATTTGAAATATGCACGTTAATGCTCTGTTGCTGTTATTGTTTGCAGGCTGTTAGTAAAGATTGCTTTACAGCATGTTATGTATAACTGAATGCCGGCTAATGCAATCATACTTCACTTCAGCTACTTAGCATACACGGAATGCGTAATTTGTTCTTGTTTAAACAGGAAGTTGAGCAGCATTGTTATCCTTATTTAGATCCATTTGTGACCATTATTTTAAACTATGCAGCATCAAGCTAATGCCTACAATTTCTCAAATGGTTTGATAAATAGGTTTGTCACTATAATGAAACACATGATTACATATACATCAGGTGGAGAATCCAATAACAACTGTGTGTGTTTGTGTATGTGTACTCACAGTGGGAATGGTGCTAACCTCTGGGCCATATGCAATTTGTGCTGTGTTTTGAAATAATTCAAGCTTGACAATAAAACTTGCATAATGTGTTGATACATTCCATTATTTCCAATATTTGTTTGGCTAGGGTCTCCATGACCAATGTTTACACATTGTGCAAACATGATGTTTGCGGCAAAAACCAGGGAGCGACAATTTGTGTTGGTTTGTGAACAACCACAATGAAACAGGGGACACATTCTTCGTATTTGTTTAATATGGGACAAAAAAAGCAGAATTCATAAAAATTCAGAATATGACAAGTGTAAATAACAGAAATATATAATAAAACAGAAGTTAGTGAGAAAAGAACCTTTGATGGAAGGAGGAATCTGCAGTCTACATAACAGGTTGGCTTCTATTTTTAAAACTCAGCCTGTAAAGCCATGTGTTGCTCGGTCATCTTGAGATGCAGAATGGAAGAAGAACATAAATAGCAGTTCTGGAGAGAAAAGTAGAAAACAACATCAGACCAGCAGATGGATTTCCAGACAAAAAGCACACAAAAGTGTCTTGGATCTTCTTTGATGCCCAGCAGTCCAAGCTGACATGTATTTGTACGTCTGGACACTTATTCTGTATATTTGGCTTCCTGTAGACTTGTTACTTTGACAAAGACACACACACATCCTGCTCAACACTTGTGCTTGCTCTACAATGGATTTTTCATTATACTTTTTACATGTGTAATCAAGCTTTTACACTTCTGATTCATTTGGTCACCTACAAATCTATATACCAGTGTAGATAATGTTAATATGTCAATGACATTTTGTATATTCCCTGTATTTGCCCACACTGGGAATTATTAATCAAATCTAATGTAGAATTACAACATTTTGCATTCAAATGTTTGCTTGATTTTTAAATGAATGAATAACATTTGATAAACATAAGCCAAAAGACAGACGTGAGACAAAACAACTTCACTCCAATTAAAAACATCACATTATCTATACAAATAGAATCTGAGATGAAGTGATGTTTCAGTTGCACAAATTCAAGATGTGCCATGAACTCAATGACCCAGTGATCATGAGATGCTTGAGTGGTGGCGTGCCAGCTGAAAATGATTAACCTTCTAATTAAAAGGGAAGAGAACTCAGGCTTCTGCCAGATAATATTAAATCTGTCCCTCCCGCCCCCGTAATTTGGTCAGTGATGATCAAGAATGGCTGGAGCACAATGGAGCACACTTACACGAAACCTTACTGGGACTTAAACTGAACAAAAACCAAGACATGACATTTTTTTAGTGTTTAACAACTATTAGACAAAAGAACTGAAACACCACATGAAATAATTATGTATGTGTGTAAGTGTCTAAATCAGAATAAGGAAAGTAACTACTTGGGTGCGACATTTTAAATGGAAATATCAATATTTTAACACTATCCCTATACATGATTAACCAAAACACACATGTTTAATTACAACATAAATTTTTTAAATGTCATAGTTTCATAAAAGAGGGGTTACACGCTCTGTCGGCTCTTGTGCTAAATAATATGTGTGGGCCTCCATTTGTCCAAATTTAACTTCTCTTCTTACTTCTAATACACTAGTCAACTTCTACTACTACTAATATTACTTCTACTACTTCTTATTCTGCTTTGTTTGTATTCAACATAGTGACGAAATGCACTCTGTAGAGACTTTTGTCCATTTGGTCTACTGTAGCGCAACATGGCGACTTCCATCTAAGGGGACGAGTAGTGTGTGTAGATAGAAATGGCTCATTCTAAGGTAATAAAAACTTAACGGTTCATTATGTAGGGTCTTTATACACCACTGGAAACATAGCTATGTATATTACATTGCATTTCTGTCACTAGATCCTCCTAAATATTACACACCAAACCTTTAACTGAGAAAGCAGGTGAGGTTAAGGTAGTTTTATTGTTAAATTTTGATACAGTCAAAATAAAAAGGGCTGTCGAAGTTTATCTTGAAATATAATGCAAAATTAATGTGATCTCTAAATGGATTTGGGATTAATAAAGCAGAAATGAATGTGAATGTAAGCTCATTTGTGGTTCATAGAGATATCCTAGTTGTTTGCCCCATAAGACTGAGCTGTGCGTGTGTGTGTGTGTGTGTGTGTAAAATGCATCTGAAGCTTTGCTACAAAAAAATGTCAGTTACATCATTGCAGCATAA